GTGAAAGAGGCGAGCTTGCTTCGTTTGCACCGGGCTAGCCTTGATTTTCTTTTCTAGGTCAACCTACGTCACATCGCGGTGGTTTTCTGCGCAGCCCTTCCCTTGGTTAGGTTAGACAAGTTTCCGTGTACCTAGTTAATGTGAATAAGAGTTGTTCCTTGCCTGTTCCCGGCTGCCTCTTTGGTTATGATCCAAGTTGAGATTGGATCAGCTTTTTATTTCCCATGTTCGTATATTTTTCTCTTTTCCCACTCCCTTAGCGAAAAAGCCTCTTGATTTTGTCTAATGGGCAGAATACAGAGGCCTCTCATTTTTGAGGGTTGGATGGGCTCTACTAACATCAGTTATGTTTAGTTTGTTTTGTGTTAATATTTTAGTTTCTTATTGGGTTCATCTCCCTCCCCTCTCATTTTTATTCATCCATAAATTTTTAAGTACATATATATAATCATTATATAATTATGGGATGAGGCGCGTTTTGTAGGACCCCCTTGAGAGGTATTATGGGGCATGGAGGATTGATTGGTGACGGACGAGTGTGGCACTATTTAGCTATGGTAATTGGCTAATTAACCATAGAAATTAAAAACAGGAAATACTTATGGCGAGAAAGAGCTATACTGAAAGATAGACTGAGCGACATTAAAAAGAAGAATTTATTTCATTTACAAAACAAAGATACTTTTCGCAAATAACAGAAAATCAGTAAAAAGGAACGAGACTGTGATTTTGTCAAATTAATTAATGTCGCGATAAGGGATTGACGCATCAAACGAAATAGAATTCTAAAAGATAAACAAAGCCGGTCGACGCATGCGACCATGGAGGAAATTTGGCTTGAGACCACCCTGGAAGGTGGCCATTGATTGTCTTTCAGAGATATCATTTGACTTCAATTCCTGATTCCAGCGAGGGAAGCCATCTGCTCTATGTACAAATCTTGAAGAGTCGAAAAGGGGATCATTATTATTGCTTATTCAAACTGTTGACTCGAAAATGAGCATCTGGTAATAAGAGAATTTTAAGACATGAGAAAAAATAAAGAATTTAATTGTCGGGTGGGCACGACCACCCAGTTGAAGGATTGACCAGTGGAGAACCCAGATGTCGGGTTTTTTGACAGTGATTAATGAGTCGATAGAGGTCCGGGCTAAGTGGATTTGCGATGTGATAAAGAATTAATTGGCAATCTGGGAATTGTAAATGTTTTGGCCGAAGGAAAAGGAAAAAGAAAAAAGGATTTTGTAAACAAAATTTTCGATAATAATTCTAAGAGGGCCAGTCTAGCAATGCCTACATTGCCGAGAGATCATTCGCTAACTGGTAGCATGGGTGATAGGCGGAGGTGAATATATGAGAAAGACTGAGAAGTTGTTAACACCCACTGAGAGGATTGGTATGAGATACCAATGTGAGAGAGGAAGAGTCTAGGAGGATAACTCTCCTCCGACCTTCCCTCACGGAAGAGGGAGGAACCCCGAAGTGGAAAGTGATTAATCTTCCAAAAATGGGAAGTAACTAATTTTCCTGGCCTAAGAACAAAGAGAATTCTTGTTGGGAATTAAGAATTGTCTGAGAACCCAAACCACGACAGGCCCCACACCGGAGTTGGTTGGTGTCCATATAAACAAACGTATAGAGGCAGCTGACGAGAGTTTTTGGCAGAGAGCCAGACACGGTCGGAGTTACAGAGTCAGAGTGTTGCCTCGTAGAAGCTGACCAAAAGATTTTCACTTCCCTCTCGACTTAGTCTTCATACAAAAAGCAAGTTTTTATTGACAAACGACTTAAGATACCATAACTCGCTTAAGAAATGCAAAAAGTGTCACGAATCCATAGAAACGAGCCGGGAGAGAAACACGCTCCTGTATTCAGCAGATAGATAAAGATAATTTGTTATTTCTCAACATATTTGAACCTCGTGAGTTTGTTTTATTATTTTCTTTTACTTATGCTTGTGCGGTATCACCTTTACCCCGGATTCAGCTTGCACTATTGCACAGCTTGATTTCGTCTACCTAAGATCAAAGTCAAAACATGGGTAGGTCAGACTTGAGATCAAAGTAGTTGAAAGTGGTTACTTCGGTAACCAGACATAGGAAGTTAGCTGGGAATGACAAGTTGGTATCGAACTGTTAACGACCAGAACACAGGCTGGTGGTGGCAACGAGTCAACCCCAAACGCTGGTGGAAGAAACTTTACAGCTTCGCGCTGCAACTGGGAGTTGACCACGGTCCGATGGCGCAGTGTCATATATTGACATCGCGACCAGTGGATGTGACATTGGCACTGGACTGCGACCGCCAGTGGGTGTCACACGAGTTTTTGTGGTGAATGGGCAAATTGTAATGAGTGAATCGGATTAGCTAGGTATAAGATAGTGACGGCCAGCCTCTACCCCTCTCCCTTTTTGGCATTGTGCCACAATTGTGTATCAAGACACAATAAATAACAATCTAAATATTCTGTCTTCAGCATGTCATGCGGAATACGTGCCCCTTTTTTGGGTAAATAATTTTCTTTTCCGTCGTAGGATAAATGCGACGCGCTGTAACTTGGTTTGATGAGGTAAGTCGTCGTATTCTTTGCTATATAGATGCTTCAAAGGTGCAATGAAAAACAAATTTTTGTGTTTTATAAAGAGAAAATACACAATTGACTCAAATTATACATTCAGTTAGGAACATTTCATTATTTTGTCTTTCATTTTGAAAGGAAATTAAAGCATATACAGTGAAATAAAAAATATATGTCAATGGCAGTAAATATTAAAACTTGGGGTCCTAGTTAAGTTGAACGAAAAGGAAATGGCCACAAAAGGTTTCAATGGAACCAAAATCATTGGTTTTACAAACTGCAAAAACTGTTCAGAGAAATTTTCTTTTTTGGGGGTTTATTTATGCATCTTTTATGTGCTGTTCCTTCTGGATGTGAACAAACATAGGACACCATTAACCTTTTATCCTTTGCAGCTCTAAGCAATATTTGTCCCTTGACTATCTCTTCCAGTTCATGTTCTGCCATCCATTTACATAATCTAATTAGATGGATTACTTGCAGTTTCCAGTCTTTTGCCTTCAATGACTGGTGTCATATTCTCTAAACCCTCTTTTTTCATTATGCGTTCCTAAAATTTAAACTACTATTTCCTGAGCCTAAACACGTCCTTTTCATTCTCATTTTCTTTAAAAAGTTCTGTCCATGGTATTCTCAGCATCCTTCTATAGAACCACATCTCTTGCCTCAACTATGAGGAAATTGTCCAGCATTGGTAACAGTTCAGTACTTATTACCAAAAAAAAAAAAAAAAAAAAAAAATAATACAGTCTTTCATGTCATTTTATATATCCAACATGTCATAGAGAACACCAATACGACTTAATTTCTATCAATGGCAATAAAAATTTGTCAGATTTGTAGTAAAGTTCTTTTATTGACATTTATTTTTGCTTTGTAATGAGGCATTCATATATACATTAAGAGTATGGGGAAGAGTCCAAACAGAATATAAAAAGAATCCAAACATTACACTGATATTTTAAGGAGATAAGAGGCTAATATAAAGATATTTATATCAGACAACTATTTGAACAAAATTTTCTACATATGAAGTTGGTTCTTGATAGATGATCAGGGTATGAAAAATGATGTTTGATAATCTGACATTTTCTTCATGTCTTGTTAAAATTGTTGTTCTATACCAAGTCTAAAAGCACAAAACGTTTTCATAATTTCTGTTTATATAAATAAAAGTATTTACATATTTCTTTTTTTTTTTTAGAATTGGTTATCACCTCATGCAAGGCGAAAGCCACTAAAACACAAGGGGGTTACAGAGTGTGGAAGAATTACGAACAGAAATATTAATAATGAATGAGAAGAGGAAAGAGTAATCAGGACAGTAGATAGTAATTGACACTGCATTTAAATTTTTGAAGATTAAGGTGGGCTGGAAAGCATGAAGCTGGAAGGGTGTTCTACAAGTAAAAAAAAAAGAAACTTATAGAATTTACAGTTACAACTAGCCAACTCAACCAAAATTGATGAGATCTCGACACCAGTGTGCATTTAAATTCATAAAGTCTAGATACCATTGCAAAGAGCTCACCTGAACAGTTATTATGAAAGTATTTATAGAAAAAACACAAAGAGGCAACCTTACAGCAGTGAGAAAAAGACTTGAGCCAAGTCAAAAGATCAAGACTGATAATATTGCAGATTCTTCTTTGGATTTTATCAAGGAGCTCAACATAAATAGCAGGGTCACTGGATGATATGTGGCAGCAATATTCTAAGCATGGAGGAATGGTAGACTTTATATTTCTTTGACATTTCATGAGAACATTTGTTTTGCTAATACTCTTGTGAAAAGAGCAAAACAGCTAACAAAATCTAGTGTTTGTAAAAGAAATTCTTTTTTGTTTAAATATCTGCTATAGGTTTTGTTACATATCCAACTGGTTTTCATATTCTATCTTATATATGTCTTATTTGCTTCATCTCAATAACTGATTTTTGTTTCTACCCTTTTATTTAGCAAATATTTATTTGGAAAATTTTGATATCAATTTTTAACTAGGGAGGACTATTAAGCTTTCATTTACTTAAAATACAAACTTAAAAAAAGAATCAACATATGTCAGCAAATGAAAACAATAGCAACAATATTTTATGAAACAATGTGATTTTATTTTCAATGATTAACATCAACAATAACAACTGCAAAGAGGACAAAAATGATTGGTGCAAAAAAAAAAAAAAAAAAAAAAAAAAAAAAAAAATTCAATTGTCTGAAAAGTAAAATATGAAAAAAATTTCTATAAATGGTAAAAGGAATCTGAATGTTGCTAAAAGGAATCAAATGATCAGAACAAAATAAAAACCTTATGGTTTTCAAATATCGAAAATATAGATCTTTGCTTTTTATTCAATGAATTAAAAATAGAAGTGACTGAGATTAAACTTGCCTCTTAAGAATGCCAAATTTACAAACAACTAATCAATTATTGCTACTTTCACTATTGCTGTCCTCTTCTTTTAAGTCTGTAATATTTGAAAGTTTAGTGGGGTTTTCATCCGTTTCTATAACTCGGAAGACTCCTTCAATTTCTTTGCAAGACATTTTTTTCAACACCTTTTTCTTGTGACCTGTAAAAAAAAAACAAAAAAACTGAATATTCAAAGACATTGAACAATTTTTTTAAAAAACAGAAATATTATTTAGGCTTACTTTTGTAGATCTAAGTGAAATGATACTTCTATAATGTTGCAACATTATTTCAGAACAAGGAAATGGGCAATTTAAATTAAGATATTCAAATCACAATTAAGATTTATTTATTTAGCTATAATAGAATAATTTTATTTTAATAAAATATTAAGTTAAAAACAAAACCACTATTTGTATCTTTCTGCTTATATATATATATATATATATATATATATATATATATATATATATATATATATATATATATATATATGTATGTATGTGTGTGTGTGTTTCACCACCCCCAAGCAAGGCAATAAAGACAGAGAAATGCAAGGAGTTACTGAGAGTAAAAGACACTGAATAGAGCTTATGCTTACATTTAGTAATTTCAACAGTAAAATAACAAGATAAATTTGCCAATCTAGTACTGTGCTTAAATTTTTGAAACCAAGGGGCCAAAGAGAAATGTATTTATAGAAAAGGGAAGTTACATTACGCCAGTGAGAAAGTGACTGAAACCAAGATTCCTGATCAGGACCAATGACATTACAGATTCTCCATTGGATTCTGTTAAAAATCTCTAAATACAAAACAGAAGCACCACACCAGATACGGTAGCAATATTCAAAGCACAGGCAAATAAGAGACTTATAAAGTTCCAAGATTGATTTTAGCAAGAAAAACTATCACAACACAGTGAACAAACCTTCATAGAAGATGGTTTCCAAAGCTCTATGTAAAAAAAAAATTCTAGGACTATGTTAAGAAGTTTCAAGGACTGAAACTGGTGCATGCATTCATGCACACAAAGTAAATTGTCATCAATTTCGAAAACACAAACTTTGTGTTTTATCTTTTGACAAATGAGATGTTCAAAGAAAAGCTACAGTTAGTTCCAATAATTCATACCACATGGATAAGTTGAAAGAAGTGAAGAAATCAAAGTGTTGAAGGCTAAAACACAACTGAATGCAGACCTGGTTATGTTACACATTTTGTGTAGCATTCTACAGTTTGAAATTCTACTACACTTGAAAAATTTGAATTTAATTCTTACTGCACACATTACAGATATCTAGACTACTTGTGGTTAGTGAATGTCATAAAAATTCTTGATTACTGCACATTTTCTGTAAAGTATAACGGTTTTAATGAATAGAACTGCAAGTAGAAATTTTCACAAAAAGACTATTTAAATTTTAACTATCCCTACTAATCATGGCTTTTATTGCACATGGCACAGAACACAATGATGCTAACATTTTTTTTTAGTTCATCTAGGTTTAGCATTCAACTCCTCTTCCAATTTTGATATCTATGGATTTGTCTTTTGCAGATCTTCACAGGGCATTGGACTTTGCAATAAGTGTGAAGTTCTGAGTCTGCTCAGTTTTCTTCACATAGCTGTCTGTTGACTTGAGCATATCTTATGTACAACTTTCAAGCTTGTGTGTTTTGGTCTTTAGTTTTTCAATCTCCACAAGCATGGATTTCCGTTTTTGTCCAGCTGCTTCTTCCTGCCTTTTTTTTTCTCTTGGCAGCCTCAAGGTATTGGTTATATACTGTTCTGGCATTGGAAGCACTGCAGAGAAAACCTTTGTCATGGGAATATTCCCAGTACCTTGTGGCCAAATAGTCTGTGATAATGTGCTGTGCAACCAGAGTCTGCTCTTTTATATTGTCAGTGGAAATTTCTTTGACTGAAAAACCTCTCTCCACTGAGGTTTGTCCATGAGAGAGTACCAGCAATCTGCAAACAACTTTCCACAGTTTTTGATATTCTTTGTTGTTAAACAAATAGTAGAACAAAGTGTCCAGATGGTCTTCATGCTTGCTGAAATTCTTGAAAGCAATATTTTCAGCAACCTTCTTCTCAAACTCTTTGTACTGAATGATGATGCCATCACAATCAGACTTGCTGATTTGTTTTTTGTCCATGTGGGAAAGGCATCTTCTGTGGCAATTTTTTTTTTTTTTTACAAATGGATCCAGGGTTCAGCCATGGAGGTGATCTTACAAGACAAGAGTGTATCTGAGGGGAAACTTTGCCAGAAGTTTCTCAATGATGATTATGAACATTGTCTTTGTTGCAATTCTGCATGCAAACAGATCTTTTGTTGATATATCTCTTTTTTTGGTGGTGGTGGTGGTGGGGGGGATAAGTTTTGCATAGCTGTATTTGCCAGAAATCCATACTTGATCTTTGCAGAATATTTCATACATGTTTAAATTTGACAAAATTCTTACAAATTCATTCAGTTTGGGAAATGTAATTATCTTTTTAGTATGCTCTTCCTTTACAAATCTTCTTAAAAGTTTCATGACCACGCAAGAAAAGTAAGCAAAGCTGTATCACTATTTTATCAGAAACAGTTCAAGTCTTTTGAAATTGACACAAAAATCCGCAGTTTCACTGGAAATAAAATGTCATTCACGTTTGACTGCACCACAGAGGAGAACATGGTCTCGAGACATTTTTCAGCTTTTTTAATTAAGTTCACAAAATTTGATGGCAATCTATAGCCATCTACGGCAGAAATACAAAAGTAAAAGGGACAGAGTTGCCAGATTGAACCTTTAAAGCCGAGCAACAAAAGTCAAACAAGTCATAACATATTTCATCATTTTCTTTTTCACACAACAAAAGCTAGAGATACAGGTCATGATTAGCCTGCAAAGTTTTAAAATATTCTTGTTATTTTTTCATTGCTGTATTTTCTTATTCTAAGACATCAAAGACACATTTTCTATTCATCCTTCCCTGCCTACATTCTCTTTGAATTAAATTTGATTCTCAAACTTTAACTTTTGGCAACAATTTCGACAAACAGTTTACACATTGGCACGAGACTTGTAAAGTTTTTTCAGCATGAACTCACCCACCTGATCTGCCAAGGCTACACAAACAGTATACTCATACTGAAAGTGATTACAAGCACCCCCCCCTAACTGCCCAAGTGCAAGGATTCACAGCCATTCTCTTTCATTCAAACTAACTCTTGCCACTATGTGACTAGCCGATTGGATTGGAATCTTCCATCCACCCACCTACCCCAGGTTGGGACTGAAGTGGCATGTTGTGGAAACTCCTGGCCAGGGGTCACTACATACCTAGGTGTCACAGGTCGCCACCCACATCAAACAGCTGGCCCTATTGAGGGGAATTTGTAGGTTTTGGAAATTGGTTTTCGCAATATATTGCAATTTTATAGGTATTTTTGTATGAACAGGTAGCATTTTGTGTAAACAGATAATTTGGGGATTATAATATTTGTTGGTAGTTTAAAGGTGCCCAACCCCCATAGATTGTTTGCATGGAAAAACTATATTTTTTTCCTGAAGGCACCACCCTAGGTATAAACAGATAGATTGTAGTCTTATGTAAGCTGACAGCATGTAGGTGAAATTTTCCTCATACAAATAATTAGTTTCTAATCCATCTTGCTTCTACACTATGCCTGGTAGTAGTTTAATGCCTTACCCAGAACATAGGTGAACTTGTTTTGTGAAAAAAAAAAAAAAAAAAAAAAATCAAGATTGCAGTTTAGCTTCATGTCCAGGATGCGTACGTAGTTTAATGTCATGTTCAGGACCTTCAACTTGTAAAGAAGACATCAGCATGTCAAACTCTGTCAAACACCTTTGAGAGATCTAAGATGCATTCTTATCTAAAGCTCAACAGATAACTGTTAACATCATCAGTTGACCTAGAGAAGCAAAAGCCATATTGTTTGTCTGAAAGAAGACCCTGTGCAGTTTAAACAATTTGAAAGTAGTACTTTGCCAAAAAGAAGCTATAGAAGAGGATTTCCAACAAGCTGGAAAACAAAAAAACACCAAGGCATCTATTGTAGAGCTTAAAGAGGATAGGAGCCATTTCAGGAGCACATTTATTTAGAACAATTTCAGGGATACTATCAAGTCAGCATGTTTTGTAGGATCATATTTGGAAATGATAGCAAAAACCATTGAAGGAATCATATGCATATTACTCAATAGAAACTCCGTTCTAAGTGGAGAGTCCGGTAGAGATACTCCAGATGAGAGTCAAAAGTAGAAATGGAAGAGAATTTATGATAAAGCATTCTGCCCTATCAGAAGATAACACTTCAAATTGAGTGGGGACTGAGGATTTACCTTTATTTAACACACTATTACTGAGCTGCCAGTAATCACAAGAACAAAACTTGCATGGTTTTACACATGCTTTTTATTAACAACTCAATTTTAGGCTGTCAAACAACAGGCACAAAGCAACAAACCAACCTGAGGTTTCTGGTTCAGCTGGGGAAACTCCATCAGAAACAAACTACTGCAGCAAATGTACAGAGTTGAGACAGTCACACTCCCAGGTTTTTGAGTGGCAAAGAGGTTCAAAGAGGAATGTTAGGATGTGGAAGATGACACCAGAAGTGTAAGGCCTTCAATGAGCGGGACTGAGACAAGTGGTGCGTCGACTGATTGCAAGTGAGCTGGGCAAAATCCACAACAGCTTCTGAAAGATTATCACTGAAGATTTGGGCATGTGGAAGAGCTGCACAAAGTTGCTGCCAAACTTGCTAGGGTCAGTCATAACCGGTGAGAAAACATGGATCTTTGAGTACGACTTCTAAACCAAGCAATACAGTTGAAGTCCAAAGTAAAATGCATGTTGATTGTATTCTTCAATGAGTGGAATATCATCCATAGATCAAGATAATCTGCATATCTACAGAGAGACCCAGTGACATTTGCTTTGTTCAAGTGCATGAGTATTTTTTTTTTTTGCAAGCTCAAGGGGGTCAATCAAGGGGGCCCGTTTTCTGTACAAGAGAGCCATCAAGTGGGCAGTGACAACAGAGAACCCACAAAGGAGTGCATGGCGCCGTGGCAGAGATTCCTCAAAAGAGTGCATGGCGCCGTGGCGGAGATTCCTCAAAAGAGTGCATGGCGCCGTGGCGGTGATTCCTCAAAAGAGTGCATGGCACCGTGGCATAGAATCCTCAAAGGAGTGCATGGAGCTGTAGCGGAAAATCCTCAAAGGTGTTCATGAATTACATTATCCTGATGGAATAATTTGCCTTTCTCTTTAATTGCAGATGCTTTTCACCAATTACTGTCCCCAGTTGATTTAACTGGAAGCAGTACTTATTCATATTATTTAATTATCTGGAAGGAACTTGTAATAGAAGACACACTTTCAATCCCACCATATACAAAGTAACAGCTTTGGACAAAGATCAGTCATTGGTATGATTTGTGAGTTGTTCATTCTGCATGTCTCATGATCTCATGCATTCAACAACTTGCACAGGAAATATATATCCTTTTTTATTTTTTTCTTCTATGTGGAAGCTATACATGAAAGTGACTCACATCAAGCTGGTACAAATGATATTTAACTTGATTTAGATAGTATGAATAAGTTCGTTATCTTTTGCATTATATAACATTGATTATCACCAAGTAATACCTTCATTTCATCATGATCAATTTCAGCTGGTCCACTCAATTGATATTTTATTCAGCACAAAATCCGCACAAATCTATTTTTCAGAAACAGTTTTTTCCTTTCATAAAAGTGTTGCCAATTTTTTTTATCTTTCATCTGGCAGAATCAATAATTGAAACTATGCTAAATTTGACAAAATTTAAACAAAAAACAACAACAAAAACATGCATGTGAACATGACAGTTATCACAATCCAACAAAATGCAATCTTTTTTTAATGAAGTTAAAAAACGAAATGCTCTATGCCATTTCATGATATATGTGAAAAGAACTTTATTTCTTTTATTGATGCTTACCTTTTTTAGATTCTTCCAACTTGTCTATCAAATCTGTTCGGTCAAGCATTTTTTCTAAGTCACTTTGACTGATTATAGATGAACGATTTCCACCTTCATAAATTTCTTCATGGTCTGAAGATTGAAGCAATTCCCTTAATTCCTGAGGACTCATTGATGTCAGACTGGTACTAAAATTTTTTATACCACACTTGAATTTTCCTAGAAGTGTTGAAGGAGAAAATAAATTTTGTAAATCAAACAGTATTATTAACATTAAAAGCAAAAGTTTTCATGTATATATTTTTCTATTAAAAAGGTAATTGCAGAAGAGACATTAGTTGATATGCCACCATATTTCATTACACCTGAAAGTTTTACTCTAAGTTCTGAGTTTGTTATAAAACTTCTCTTGCAAATGTTTTCAAAGCTTGAAAAGGCTTTTCTTATCAACCAAAATTTACTTTGCATTAATAGTGTTTTTGAAGACGTACAGACTGTACTTACTTTATACCATGTTAGCAAACAGTTTGTAATTTGTAAATGGCAATAAGAATCTTGAAATAGAACAAGTAGAACAAATAACAGGACATAGAAATTCTGGAGTTATTTGACAATGTTAAAATTGGGGTTTAGTGAGTTTTATAAATACTGTGTCATTATCAGCTATAACTTTATATTAATTCAAAAACTTAAAAATATCACATTGATTAGGCAAAGTGGTTTAAGAAAGATAGAAAAAAAGAAAAACCTTTGTGTATAATCATCTTTTCTAGTTTTCTTTTTGCTGTGGCTCTCTCCACTATTTTTTGGTCAATAGTATTTCTTGAAACCAATCGGTAAACAACAACAGGCTTTACTTGTCCAATGCGATGACAACGGTCTTGGGCTTGCAGATCACATTGTGGATTCTGAAAATTAAAATGCAATGACATATACACACTATTAATAATATCATGTAAGTTAATTTGCATTATAACTTCAACAACTGACTAATGATTATGATTTGGTTGAGAAGAATTTTAAATCTTTATTAGCAAATATAAAAATTTAACCTATAGGTGCATAGCAAATGATCAAAGAACATCTCAACCAAAATGCTCATCACAAAACCTATATTCTTTTCAGTATGTGGGTAGCAGAAAGGGTTAATCAATTTCAAGAGATAAATATGATATAAAATCATTTTCTTACATTATATAAAAACAAGAGTTATCTTTGTGCTTACAATTATTTAGTCTAGTGTTGGAAATACCACTAAGAAAATCAAATTTTCATTTAGACAAAGCCTCTTTATTCCTCAAACTGGTGGAAAAACCACTGTTAAAATATTTTGATTTTTTTTTTTTTTTTATAATACCTCTGGACAGATTCGGTATCAAAAATAAAAATACCAGCAATTGGCATTTCAACATATTTTCTATCTTAGTATGTGTCTAATTAATATTTACTTTATAGAAAAGAAACAGAGAATTAAGAAAGAGCATATATTTTAAAGGATTATTACAACAGATTTGGGACCAACGTAAGTAAATATTAAACCAGTTGTGCTTGGCTACTATACAATTAAGATAGAGAGAACCATGTGTAAACAATTGGACACAGATTAGAATAGAGTGGGAAGATATATATAAAAAAGATAAAAATAATCAATAAAAGACTATCTGCCTGGCAAAGAGAATTACAAAAATCCTAACTACAATCTACTCTGGCTAAAAAGCCAGAGTAGATTATGATTATTTACAATTTTCTTTGATTCTACTTGCAACTAAATATCAAACACACAAACACAAACCAATCTTCTTGGAAGAACACCGACAACTCATGTTGGATGGGAAATTATGGCAATTTGCCAAAGAAAAGATGGTGCATTATACAGACATCATGAATACACACATACACAATAAATATAACACCCACACATACACTATTAGCACATCAAAGAATTTTCGCAAGTTATAAGATTTTGGAAAAAAATAAAATTGTAATTTTAATACAACATTCCCCCCCAACACATGAATATAATATTGTTTTACAATAAATGAAAATAACTGGTTTAATCTAAATTTTAATTATTTCCAAAAGATCTCATACAAAATTTATCAACTGTTCACAAAACATTAGGAAAAATGAATGAAATATGAGAAAAATGTTTTCAATTTGACAACTTTTAAAATTCAATTGTTGGTATTTAACTTTATACATGCATTTTTTCCCCCCATACAAGTCTGATTAAACCTATGGTAAAAGCTGAAAAACACTCTTTTCTAACCATAGGTAAAAGCAAGTATTTGCAAGATGAGTTTCTATAGAGAAACATACAAATAGAATTAGTAATTTATATAAAACAGTACAGTGCACTAGAAATGATCAGTCAGTCAGTCACAGCTGTTAGAAATGATTTGGATGTTTACAGGCAAAGAGAAAATTAACCTGTCAGCAAGTACAATCAAGCACAGCTTGCTTCCTGTCTTTTTAGGATAAACTTAATAAAATATAAATAAAATGACTAAATAGAGTGGGATAAAAATAGAAGCAGTGTAGGTAAATGGAGATTAAGAGTGGGAAATTGTTGATACTCTGAATAATACTCTAGAGAGAAAAAAGTTCCACTTAAGAATCTATTTAAAAAAAAAAAACTATTCTAAAAGATCAGTAGACACTTTCAATATAGTATAAATAGAATTTTTTTTTCATTCAGATGTTTGAGGATGAAATGTAAATTTTGAAATTTTAATGTACAAATTGAGAAACAGAACAGTGACATCTTTATATTCCCACTTAAATGCAAGTCTTTTTTTTTTTTTTTTTTAGAAGTATATTAATACTCTCTAAACACTAAAAAAAAGTTCTAAAATACATTGAAAAACTAAGTTCATCTTGTCATTACATAATTATTTTCAAATATTAATATTTATACAATATTCAATTGACAGCTTCACTTTAAGTGAACTGTGAAATAATAGGTTATCTGCTCTGTAGCAATAAAAAAATAGATAAAATAAAAAAAAGTTTATTTCTCAATGCATTAACAGTTTAGTTTGATTTAAAATATAAAATTTTCATTATATTGATAAATATTCAGTGTATTTAAAGGCAAAGAGAATGATTTTCATATTTTGATGAATATAATGGCAAGCGCTATGCATTCTAGCTTAAGTTAACATAAGTTTTGTTTCGATCAGCTCTTTAAATATGTTGACATAAATGATTAATTAGCTATTTATATAGAAATTAAGGAAATCATTACTTGATAGATGGTTAATATATTTTAAATTCATGTGAAATATGAACTATTATGTTATTTGAAATATTTTGCTGAAAAGAATTGTAAAAAAAATTGTAATTAAACCATCACAGGATAATTATATTTTTCCAACATACTTTATTCATATGAAATTGTCAAAACTTATGCAAATTGAGAACAATTCAGAATAGGTATCAAACTAAAATTTTTATTTTCAATTTATCTAAAAACCTGTAATACAGGCATAGAAAGCTTGACAAGTCAAAAAATTGTTCTAAATTTATCTTGGTAGCTCAATTAGCAATGAAGACCATTAAAAATTTGTCAGTTTTCTATCTTGTGTGCTATTGAGTCAAGCTAATTTTAATGGTGTATAACTGAACTTGCAAGATTCAGACCAGTTAAAAATCATTATAAAAATGTAATATCATAGGTAGTTTTGAAGCTGAAGTAAAATAAATATAATACTCATGAAATCAATAATTATTAAATAAAACCAGTCTAAACATTAGTAAAAATTGTGCTCTGAAAAACTAAATAGTTAAAGCATAACAGAAAGGCAATTTTGACTGTTCATATAAGTTACAAGTTAATGCCTTGTAACTCCTTGCTACGATTCATAGCACAATGGAGATGAAGTTATTTTTGTCAATAGTACATCAATAAAAATCCCATATTTACACCATGTAAAATCAGCCATTAGCACAATTTAACAGGTAGGCAAAAAACAGATAAAATGTATACCATCCTGAACTTACCATAAAAACAATCATTGGGAGGTATATGCCTGAAACGTTACTAATGAATAATTTCGGGATGAGGAATTCAACAAAACAGTTCTTTTCTCTGTAATACATTTTGTCATAGATGTATATAAGTTTTGAAAATTTTGTGAAATTATGTAACTTCTAACATGTCAAAAAGGGATAGTAATGACTACAAAACTTAGAAATTTGTTTCAGGAAATGAAACAATGGTCAATCCTTCAAACAAATGCTTGTTGTAAAGCTTTCAGTTTGTTTATCTTCAAACTAAAAAAAATGAAATGAATAAAAATATATGGATGGCAGTTTAATATCAATAACTTGGTCAATGTAAAAGTTGGAGCAATAAATAGTATAGTACAACCAACTGTAACTGAAGGTAATTTGAGCATTCAAACAACTCTAGCATTTCTGTAGACATAAATGCTAGAGTTGTTGGAATAGTCAGATTCATTGAGTGCCTTTTCTTCCTTTCTTTGCTCCTTTAGGTGTAGATGAGGTCCCATTAGTTTTTAAATATCAGCATACATTGCAAAAAATTTAGTGTCTTCCTTGGCCTGCTTCTTCCACTTGGATGAAAACTAAGTCAAGTTCATCCTCCACTGAACAGAAGATTAAAAGTAAATTTTATAAATCATTCAGGTAGGGATCTCTGGCATGGAAAGCAGTAATACATAAAAAGGGAGAGTAAAAAAAAAAAAAAAAAAATGCTATGCTTATTACTTTCCATAACAGCTTAAAATTTACTTTTAACACCTGAAATAGAACCTAATCCTTAGAATTAGTAAAAAAAAAAAAAAAATTGAGGGGCAATAACATTTTGAAAAATTCATTACATTTCAATTTTCTATCGACCTATATACCAAAACTTCCAGTTCATTTCTTTTTTTATTTCATTTTATTTTTAAAATGTATCAAGCTTCATAAAAAAAAAATAAAAAAATAAATAAATTTAATCTGTAAATCCCAAGAATTAGACAAAATATTGCCAGCCATGATAAATGGAATAAATGACCATTAAAAGGAAAATAAAATTTTAAATTTTTAATGCTTACAGAAAAACATGAGTGCGACATTTAAAACAACTAAAAATATAGTTTTTATTTTTATTTTATATGAATTCAGTCTGTTTTGTTTGTTTTTTTTAAGATAGCCATGATGAAAGTGATTCAAGTGTAAGAGTTTAGAAAAAATAAAATGAATAAGTAGCTTATACAGTTTTAAAATGTATCATTATTAAAGATTAGACATGGCTCTACAAAAATGTGCAATTTTCAGTTTTGAATTTCTATGTTATTTTATCCACTAAATTTTCAACTTAGAAATTTTTTTTATGAAATACAACTTCAAGCACTAAGTTCACCAAATTGATGAGCATCCTTTTTTTAAGATGGGACTAGTTTGATATATGTAAGGAGACACAAATCAAAGCACAAGTTTTAAAAACACCACTCTGAAATTGTCAACTTTGAAAATGCAGAAAAAGCATCACCCGTCATTGAAATAATGACGTAATTTCAAGTGACATGGAATAAAAGTTAATCAACACATGCAAAAAAATTGTATCTTTATAAGAAGATCAAATATTGTTTACATACTAATTTTACCTAAATTGCCTAGACAATAAATGAGATACTAAAGTTGAATTTGAAGAAAATTTCAAGATTTTGACACATTTCGAAGTTTGGGATACCAGAATATGAATGCCAGTTTAAAAAAAGACAGTCCAACTCATTCAATATAAATAAATTGATCAAAATGAGATCAAGATTTTCTACTAGAAAAATGTAAAAAAAATAATGCTGATTATATGAAAGCAAATAGTTTCTTGCTATGTGAACACAAGGATCAATGTTATCAAATTGATACAATACTACTAAGTTTTGTATGATGTTCTTGCAAAAAAAAAAAAAATTAAAACTTATAGTAAAATTTAGTTATGCTATAGTGAGTCGCTTATCTTTATAGCAAATAAAAAATAGGAATCAATGCTCCTAAACCAGTTATTTTTTGAGATGCTAAAACCTTATATGTTTAACATTATTCAGAAAACATTTAAATTTCAAGACTGAAAAATGAACAAGATTATCTACACAGATGCCAGGTAACCTACACAAACATATGCACATATTTGTGCATCAATATATTTCAACACAAAAATATAAGCATTTGTATTTTAATAAAAACGGTGAAAACTATAAATATATCTTGAAGAAAATTTTGATTCTTTTTATATACAAGGAGACAGGTGAAATAAGGTGGTAAGATACAATTGTTATTAAGTCTAAGGATAATGACCAACAATGATAGATTAATATTAGAAATTTAAAGTAAAGAGAATATTTTATATTTGAATGAAAATGATTACAAGAAAAAAATATTCATTTTTATTCTAGTATAATTTGATCTGGTTATAATATGAACATAATTTACAGAGGAGTTAGTGTTTAAAGAGTGTGTTGTAAAAGGTTTCAGCTAAAACTATATCCCTAAAGTTAGTCAAATAAATACCGAACTTAGGTCAGTAAGTTTTCAACACCTTCTCCATCTTATATAATAGAGAAGTTATTGAAGTTGGTTCAATTTCACTTTTGAAAATATATTTCTTTTAAGAAAAAAAAAAATAAATAAATAAAATAAAAGGGTCCAACAATTTATAAAGGCTGATGTTACACAGATGTTAAGACATTTTACTTCTGTGTAAGTAAATATGTAATAAAAGGCAGCTTATTCTGATTCAGTTGAAATTTTGTTTATAAGATTGAAAAGGACACATGGTACAATGGATAAAGGCATTAGATCCAGTGACAGGACCCAAAGAGTGCAAGTTCAATACCTGGTTAAGGCAGTGGAGAACTTTCAGAGGGAAATTAACAGGAGATAACTGATAACTGACATCCATTAAACATGGCACGTGGAACTAGAACAGTCTACCCCAGTAAGCGAAATAAAGGGTTCAGTTCAACATTCCAACCACCTGAAGAAGGCAGAAACATTGTAATATGGCAACAAAGGACAATAGTCTGAACAATGTAAATAATGTACATAATACCTCATATCAGAAATATAGACAGATACTAAGATTGAAAAAATTAGATTTAAAAAATTTGACATTATTTGAAGTCAAATTTTTTTAAAAACTCATTTTTCCATCTTATTTGGTTTGAAGATTGATTTTTATATTTATTTTATGAAAACAAAACTATGAAAATCATTGAAACTGCTTTAAAAATTGACACAATTTTCATTATAATTATCATCAATCTGGCATATACTACATGCTTCTATTCTTTGTTAAACTAATTACCAAATTAAGTTGTTTAATTTTGTTATTAAATATAAATTTTGTTTATTTTCAGACTAATAAAAATATTCATTATTTTTGTATAATTAAAGAGTACATTGCTTCAATATACGGTATCCAAATTGCAATAAACAATGATAGTAGTTTAATCATTTATGTAAATTTGATATTCTATAGATGATGCTAATTTGATTTCAGATTATTGTTGGCTAATTCTATTTGAGACATTGTTCATTCAGAAAGTTTAAATGAAGTGAAGTGAAATCAAAAAATCAATTTCTGTCAGAATTTTTGAGATTAGGTGTTATCGTTGCCGTGATATTTAACATCACATACTCATCTTGGTTTTTATGCCCACAATGCCCTCTAGCCGTCTTCAGATGTCTGTCTTTATACTCTGTAACCTTCTTGGGATCTCAAACTGGACCCTTTAATCAATCCATAGGAATAGACTTCATTCTGCTTTTGATGCGTAGGGGAAGTTCCATCACCTTTATATCACTTATTTTATTCAGAGTATGCGACTTTTCAGCACTACTAGACCCAAGGATTCAATTCATAACTGTCAAAGAACTAGACATATTTTAACTCGTCTCTTTGTGCTATAAGAAAAGGCATCTGAACAAGGCTAGAGGGCACAACAGCCAAAACAATGAGTATATAGCAATGGAGATGAGCACATTGACCTGAATGAATAGCAAAGCAAATACCAAAAAATTAATCTTATGAAAAGCAAATACATAAACCAAGTTGTAAAAGGTGTAATCTTATCTTACTTATTATAAAACGCAGATTGTTTGTGTGTGTGTATGTAACGTTTATATATTGGATCGGATTTCCTACATTTTTCAACCGATTTCAACAAAACTTCACAGGACTACATAAAATTACCTTGTGGTGGTTCTAACAGCGCCAAAAATGGGAAAAATATAATTGTTTTTGCATAAAATCAATTTGAAAACACGATTAAGAGACATCGTGAAAATGGAAGGGGGACAACTCACATCGGTTTGTTTGTGTGTGTGTGTGGGTTACTTTAAATATGGGAGCGGATTTCCTATATTTTTCAGCCGATAAAACAAAACTTCACTTTTTTTTTTTTGGCAGGTAGTGTTTCTTATTCTCTTGCACACTTTTTTCTTTATTTTTAACATTCAGAATGCTTTAAAAATTCCATTTACAAGACAATTGTTTATAATAAAATTCTATTCAATCAGTAGACTCATAACGATTGAAAACAATGTTTTTGTTTGAGTTTGACCAATTCGTAAAAAATAAAAATAAAAAAAAACTAATTAAGACATGCGTGTCCGTCAACCTTAAACAATAATCTTTGTCAATTTTATTTTTCAGTCTTGATGATGGCGGATACTTGATACTTACTGTTATATCCCCGGGAAACGCCGGGCTCTACTGCTAGTAGTTGATAAAAGTCTTACTATTGTAATGTTTTATCAAGTATTCAAAGCCTACTAAAATAGAAGAGACAAAGAGAGAAATGATGGATATTAAGACAGAAATAAAAAAGGCGGTACATTACCCAATCACTGTCAAAAATGATAACAGTATCAGCAGCAACAAGATTTATTCCAAGACCTCCAGCTCTTGTACTCAATAGGAACAGGAATGTGTTCTTGTCAGTGTTAAATGCATCAATCTGAAAATATTTTTTCAAAAGATTAACAAATGTAAGTTCATAAACACTGCGTACAGCACTGCAAGTATTAATTTCATAGAATACTTCCATCAAATATAGAATAGCCAACAATAACCAAACATTTACAATTTTTGTTTTATATGTATAATAAATTAAAAGTGTTTTTATATCTCTTGCTTGAAGAAAAGATTACTAAATAACTAAGTCATAAATATTAAAAAGACAAGACATGTCAGAAAATTATTTCAAATTAGATTTTGTACAAATTATACAAATGTGACTGTTACCTGAACATATAGAAAATGTGTTACACCAAATAATGGCAAGGAAAACTCTTTGAAATAGCCATTCTACTTGGCAAAGCTCATTCATACAGTTTGTTGTCAGAGCTGGTCTGGACAAGTAGGGAAGCACTTATAGGCCTACACTATCAGACATTTGAAATGGAAGAGAAATCTGTCCAAAAGTGACTGGTAGTTTGCAATCATCAGCTTGGCCCTGTAGTCATTTTAACTAAGTTGCCACTCTAGATGTCATATCCTAAATAAGAGACAGATTGCCTGAGAAAGGAAAATGTTTATGCTGTTCACTTGGTCTAATCATATTAGCCCCAGTTGCAAAGGAAAACTTGGTACATTCAGACCATTAAGAATGGAACAGTAAGGTATAATGTCATATCAAAGTATTATGCTGCCTAAAACAATTGTTTTTAAAATACTTGAGCAATGTCAAACATCACTAATTGATTATGGCAGTAATCAGTAATTGAACAACACAAGAAGTCCATGTAATTAAGGAATATAAACACAAATGAACTTAATGATTCTACAGCTTAGAATAAATCATACTCTTCAATAATTATGTGTAAAGCAGGTGGTTTATTTATATACTCCAAACACAAAAACAAATAAAAAATATCAAAATATTTGTACACTTAATTTTGTATTTGTGGTTAACAAATGTTCATTTCAGTATGAATGATTCAACAGCAGTCTTTTCCTAATTATTTGTAATGGTCAATATACAAACAAGATATTGAATACTTATTTCTAATAAAACTGCATTCAAGAGAGACCAGGTTTCAAATAAATCTGAGGTTTTCAGTATGTGAATGATTGGAGATTAGGTTTATTAAAGAACAGTGACAAATACAAATTTCTAATAATCTTTACAAAAACTTCAAGTTTACTAGTTTTCTTGAAGAAGGATTAGAACTTACTTGTTCTTGTCTCTGTTCAAATCCGTAACTGCCATCCAATCGAGAGTATTCAAAGTTTTTGAGGTAGCAATAATCTTCAAGGATATTTAGCACTTGAACAAACTGAGAAAATATCAACACCTGTAAAATAAAATTTGATTTCCTTGTTAATATTCAGGACTACATTAATTTCATGAAAACAGTTCAGGGGTGGTTATGGCAATCACAGACCGAAATATTTTTATAAAATCATTTAAAAATATAATGCATTATTTCAGTTTGGAGATTTGGCATAAGAAATATCCAAACTTACACAACTGAGCTCATTAAAGTTTGTACTACAAATTAAAAACAAATTTAATTGTGAATTAAGCAAGTTAGTAATTGTATGAATATAGCTTCCCTAATAATTTAAGAAATTTAAAAATCATTTCAAAAATTTTGTTCTGATGGATATTCGTGTTGATTTTTACTAATAAGTCATATTTGAAAAGAAAAATTTTATTTACATTTCATTGGTTAATAACCAAACAACTAAAATTGTTTACTTATGAATCAGGATTTCATTTTTTTTTTTTTAATTTGAAGAGAAAAAGGTGTTCTGGTTCTTGTGCATATAAAGTTTGAGAATACCTAGAACTAGTATTAGGAAATTGCTAATAAAATTTTTTCAATAAAGAAATTATAAAGCCATTATGTAAAAACAGAGATGGCATAATGTTCTGATAGAGAACAAAGAATTCACAACTAGAATTTGTTTAAACAGTATAATGACAGTTATTTGCTTTAATAACAGTGAAAAAAGTAATTTGAATAAGTTTTTTCATTTCTGCTTATAATTTGCTGTTTTCTCATTTCAAATTTCTAAGATCCAGTCCAATTCTAAAATATTCTTTCATATAAGGATAACATGAAAATTAACATCTGTCTATATTTCTGAGATGAGGTATTATGAGGTATTTACATTATTCGGACTATTGTCCTCATCTTTGTCACCATATTTATTACAACTGGGATAGGCGGGTACAAGAGGAGGACAACAACACTCAGAAAACAGTCTGCCTGTCTTATGTGAAGGGATTATCAGAGAAAATACAAAGGATCTGCGGTCCATATAACATCAGGACAACTTTCAAAAGCTTGACGACACCTCGCAGATATCTCTCCCGAGTAAGACTCCCCCCCATAGAGGAAAACATGACTAAAGACTGTATGTACGCTATCCTGTGCAGCTGCAGAAAGAAATATAAAGGAGAGACAGGCTGCCCCCTCAAGGTAAGGCTTCAAGAACACCAGAAAGCTGTAACACGAGGGGAAGTGGAAAAATCAGGCGTGGCTGACCACATATGGAGAGAGAAGGGAGATCACCGCCCTCTGTGGGATCAAGTTGAGATCATAGACAAGGAACACCATTGGAAAATTTGTAAACTTAAGGAATCAGCATATATTCTAAGCCACAAAAATCTCCTGAGCCGACCAAGCATAGAAATAAATACAAAATGGTAACCAGTAATAAGGAGTGCCAGAGAAAAGCAATAATAACAGCTGCAATATGAGCTCTGGTAAAAACATGAAATGATAACAGCAAAAATTGCAATATGAGCACTGGTAAAAATGGTTGCTGAAGACATTGGGTTTATAATACCCAGAAATTCATACCAAGATGTCCTCAAGGACACATGGCACAGTGGATAAAGGCATTGGTTAGATCCAGTGACAGGACCCAAAGAGTGTGAGTTCAATAAGGCAGAGGGAAAATTAACACATGGCACGTGGAACTAGAACAGTCTACCCCAGCGAAATAAAGGGTTCAGTTCGACATTCCAACTACTTGAAAAAGGCCGGAGCGTACAATGGCCGAAACATTGTAATAAATATGGCGACAAAGATGAGGACAATAGTCCAAATAATGTAAATAATGAAATATTGACTGAGCTGATGCACCAAATTGTACAACAGATTTGCTAACATCAATGCAACTTGTCAAAGATCAGAATTTCAGTTTGTGTGAGAAACATGGAGACTGGTCAACACATTTTGAATAGAAAACATGAGCTTTTGAAATAAGAAATCTAAATAAGGAATGTTTTTCATATTCCTCTATCTCCAATGTAAAAAAATGGGAATCGGGTTTTTCATACACTAACCAAGCTGAAGAAAATAAGTTTTAAAAATCTTATGGGATCTGGTGTGAAACTGAAATAAAATCAATAAAGTAAAATAATGATAAAAAAATTTTCCCATGATGCTAGTAATATTTTATGACCCCACTTCCGAAAAGGACAGAACCACGCTCTCTTTCCACTTTCCGACGCACAGCATTAGGATGTGTTTTGCAGAACCTCTACTGATGACCGATCCAAGTCAGTACAAATTTGTCTTCCTATGAATTACTTCTGTTCCAATTGGAATATGTTTACTTATTTTCACTAATGCTGCAAACAGAATTTAGAGAAGTTTGTCATATTTAATGAGAAATTCACCCAATACATAATGATTTAAGAACCTCTCAGTCCCAATGTTAGAAGTGAGTGAGAGCATGTCAAGCCAACATTTAGCCGTAAACCTTTTATAGAAAAACTGTAGATGTTTTCACAGAATTTAAATTGTTGAAATGTACAAATGACACTGCCTATATTTTCCATGCTCTTATATTAATTTTAATATAAGAGAAATATAATATGGACTTGGATTTCAGGCATTACAGAAAATGATTAGCATATATCTGACACTGTACATTTTATATGGCTTGCTTTATATAGATTTTACAAACCAATCAAACATAATGTAAACAAACTCAGTTTGTAAGATAATTTTATTTCATCAGATTCATTTTAACATAGCACATAAAAATAGAATAAAGTTGATAAAAGGAAATTTAAAAAGCTTCATATTCTTTTTTTTTTTTCTTTTAGCTTTTTGACTCAAAATAATTTCATATATATTAATTTCAATTTTAAGAAATTAAAAATGAACAAGTAAAAATAAAATTAATTATTTTATAAAACTCTCTCTCAGTAAATGTGCATTTAAAATTTAATTAACTGAAATTCTGGTGCAGTGTGAAATTTTATTTTATTCGACACAAATTCAACGCTCGACTCTTCCGGTGTATCCACACCCGATTTCCCCCTTAGAACTGAGGCTCTATTGAGTGAGCTGCACAATTTATGAGCAGAAACATCATGAACTTCAGTCCTAGGATAAGTACACAGTAAATTGAAAGAGGTAAACATAACTATGTTATCAAAGATTTTCTAATAAATATATGAATGTGAAATAATAGCGAAACAATAAAAATTGTTTACAGTAGATTTGAAAACTTAATGCATAGCAATTTCAGTTGAAGAATCAAATGCTAATTAAGAAGATAGTAAAAAAATGAAAAATTACATGTAGGAAAGTTTTACAAAATAATAAAACTGCTTTCCATTAAAGATGCCTATTTAAATGTATTCAATTGCATAGGTAGAAACCTATAATACTAGATTTTACAATGGGCATTAACAGCGTCTGACAGAAGACAAAGAAATGAATGTAACCAAAATAGATGAGAATGTAATGCAAATAATATCTTTTCAATCTATGGAAACTTTGGTATTCTCATAAATCTCAATTCAGAATCCGAAATAATTAACACAAAAAGGTAATTTTTTTTTTACCTTATGACCATTTTTTCTCAATTCTGGTAGCATTCGATCTAACATTCCCATTTTCCCACTATGCTTGATTAAATCATTATTAAGCACCAGCTCTCCGGTTTTTGGGTCTAATGGATGTTCAATCAAGTAAGGATGGTTGCAGATCTTCCTCAACATCATCATTATGTTGTTCATCTTAAGATTTACTCGGGAGTTTGGAGCTGGAGATGACTTGGAAGCTCTGGGGAGATGAGAGAGAAAACGAAAAACTGTCAGGAGAAATATTCAGTTCTTATAATACCAAACCAAAGTTAAAGAGAATGAAAACATTAATAGTTACCATTATTTTTTACTGTAAAACATTTACATTTTTCTTATCTTTCAAAATAGAGACAATAAATAAAGTCCCAAGTATTTTACAGTTTCACTAAAAACGTAGACAAAGAAGGTAAGTCATTTTAATACTCCTAAACTTAATCAGTTAAGATAATGAACAACACTTACTTAGAACTTAACTTTTTGATTAAAAGCCATATTGCAAAACAAAGACAGCTGCATTGGTAGTGACCGACAAGATTTTGTGGGCTCACTATGAATCCAATTTGTAATATAGTGTGCAAATTGAATGTTATCACCAGCCTTCACCTGTCCTGCTGGGCAATAGCCTTAATAGTTCTCACCTTTCTTGGTCACGCTTTGTATTCGATTCAATTACATTATTTATCCAGTTCATTAATTGCTTCTCATCTCGGTCAGACCATGTTTTTTTCTCTGTTGTAGATCCTTCAAATATGTGTTTGTAGCTGATATGTTTTTTGGACTGGCGTACAGGACGCCCTTTCACATCTAGTTCCACTTTTACTTCCATCTATATATAAAAAAAACAAAAAATAAAAAAAACTGCACAAATAAAAAAAAAATTGACAATGTATTTTGAGAAGAGACATACACAAATGCAAAAGGAAGCATACCTATGTTTTATAGATTATACAAACACTTTTGATAAAGTACATCACAAAAGAACCATGACATATGTGGGAAAGATATTAGAACATATACTGTTAGCAAACTACTGGCATATGGATAGGAAATGATGTTAGTAAATATACAAAAATAGAAAGGGCTGCAAGACAAAAATGTGCCTACTCACCAGACCATTTCAACTTATACAGTGTGGTGATTCTGAAAGAATTAGAAGTCCTACTGGGATTTGTTATTGGCAATCATGATCTTAACAACATATGTTGAAGAGACAGTGTGTTGGTAGCAGACACAGAAGAGAAACTACCAGAATTGCAAGAAGACTGAATGCATAGTTGTTAGCAAAAGGAACAGCCCAACATGTAAATTATAAATTGGAGATACTGAAAACAAACAGGTGCAACAAGTTAGATATCTGGGAAGGAAAATGCAACACAGAAATAGGAAGGCACATTGGGATAGTGAAAGATACCTTCCAAAAACTGAGTAGAGTATCAAGAAACAAAGAAAAGTGTACTGAGCTATGTCCTACATGGTAATGCTGAACAATCTCCTCACAGATGAAGAAGAGAGCAGAAATGTCGTTCTTCAGAGAGATGCTGAGGATACCATGGACCGAACATGTGAACAATGACAAATTTCTACAGACAATGACAATAAAAAGGACAGCTATACTTAACATTACGAAGAGACAGTTTAGGTTTCTGGGATACATAAGGAATGAGGTCTTGGAAAATTTAATACTCACAGGACAGATTAAAAGGTCAGGTTGAAGAAAGCAATTCACAAGGCTATCTGGCGAGGTTAAGTGAATGGATGGTGAAGCAGAGTACGAGAGAGATGGCAAAAAAGAAAAAAAAAAGTTATTAAGAGCTACAAGAGACAGGAAATTGTGGACAGCTATGATCAACATCCTAAAAGGACACAACACATAGAGTCACACATCATTTCCGTCTGTTTACATATGATGAAGAAATGTTAATATTTCATGCAGTTGTAGCAGAGCCAACAGCTCTGAAAAATAAGATCTGAGTAATACCAAAAAGCTATAACATGTGGAAATACTTTGAAATCTGGTATGGCTGATCATGTGTAAAGAGAGAGAGGGATCACATCATCCTTTATGGAATTGAAATGACAAAGAGCAGCGTTAGAAGATTGAAAGAATTTACTCCTATACTAATGCCCAGAAAATTCAATCAGCAGACCAAGTATAGACTTTAGTATCTTATGAGGACCATTAATCAGGAAAGAACAAATGACAAACTTGAGATTTTATAGACATGGCTTAAGAGATGGAAGTGCATGTCAAGTTCAACAAAACCACAAGTTCAGTTAAAGACAATCACAAGAAAACAGAAATGTGAGCCCAAACATGACATGTATAAGGTGATGTGCATGCATCTCCTACAAAAAAAAAGGAATTTGAAAGCAAGCCTCCATGTTAATGGTTATAAAGAAGCATAAATATCTTGCCTCTATTCCCATAAACTGTATCATTAATCTGGTCTCTTTATAAATCAAAATAATTATTGGGAAAAATAAACACTATATGAAATTAGACATTTTAAAAACAATACATAAAAATGCAAGTATATGTATCTATTAAATATATAAAGTACAAACTGTCTCATCACATTACCATGGTTACAAACATTTAAATTGCTGCGATGAATTTAAAATACTAATAGATCAACAGGCCCTTTTTCACACTAGGGCAAAAACTTTTACACACAAAAAATAAAGATATTTTTAACCTTAGTTATAAGACTGAGGAAAAATTTTTAAGTTTTTTTCTTCTTCTCAAGTCTTAAATCCTGTTAGAAAAAAAATCTAATGTTTAATGATATCAGTTCAAACTCAGTGCAATATAGTTTCTAACACAAGGATGAATTTTGTTTCCATGGACATAAGGCTACACACACACACTTGTGTATAGGTAATCAATATTTCATAGCTTCGTTTTGTTATTTACATACACACCATGAACAGGGAAGAGATGTCAATGCTGTTACTAGTGGACAAGATAAATGAGAATGCAGGTAAGTATTTTTTTTTTTTTATTATTTATTAGGTGGGGCTGGAAATTCTCAGCCCAACTAAGAATTCTATACCAGAAAAATTCAATATCTGGTCAGATTTTAGGAAGCAGTGGAGATTGAGAACTTTTCAATACCACTTGTAATAAACAGGGACAGGATAGGGCCTCACAAAACAGAGAGGAACTGATAAAAGGGAAGCAAAAAACAAAGAATTAGTAAATATTAAATAATCATGAGGGAAACATGTACAGAGAAAAAGTACTTTACTTTTGATAGCATTCCCCTTGACAAATGAATGTTATTATGTAGAATGTAATAAACAAACATATACACACTTACCCAAACAAAAATCCAGTCTAAATATTTCACTTCTAGGGATAAGAAACTTATGAGACTTTAGGTCCCAACCAATAAATGAACAGGAACAGATTGTGGGAAATTTAAATAATCTTTGCTTTGATTGTAAATGAACTTATTTTGCTACTCTACTTTGTGTGTGTGTGTGTGTGTGTGTGTATATATTTCACACACACACACACACACAGCTATAGTTTTATTAATTTTAATTTCCTAATTAACTTAAGATTATCTTAGAATATATAGTTTTAAGGTGTGCTATATTTATGGGATAAAAGCGAACATTGAAGTCAACACTCAGAGGCGACAGGCTCTGAGTGTTGACTTCAATGTTCACTTTTATATTTACATACGCTCTATCTCTGATATTGAGCACTTTTATCCCATAAATATAGCACACTTTAAAACTATATTTCTTCATATTCACCTCCTGATAAACAGTAGAGCACTTTCACTACATTTATAACACATTATAGACATTGAAAATTTTAGCCTTGACTACTCCCTAAAAAACATACCCATCCCATCTCCATCCACATATAAGCTAAAATTAATTGAATAAACAGAAAGCTTCATAAAAAGAATAAGATGGAAAGCCCATTTCTTTTTAAACCAGGACCTTCAGAATAACCCTACACCCAAGGAAAAATATGGCAACAAAAACAATTAGACAACTTCAAGAAAGACTTAACTGACCTAAGTTAGAAACATAAAATTCCATAAAAAACAAGACGTATTCCAAAAAAAAAAAAAGCTAAAAGATGCAACTAAAATAAACAATTCAACAAATGTATTTATCGCAGTGGACAAAACCAAAACTTTATATGAACTAAGCCTTCCTACACACAACAAATTACTCAAGAACAACATAACCAAAACATACAAAAAAAAGCACCGGAAACAATAGAACACAATATCAATAAGGAAGCTAAAGTAATCGCTCAAAAATTATACCTAGACGACCGAATAAGTTGCATCGGTAAGGCACAAGCCTTTATCACACTAAAAGACCACAAAGAAAATTTCAAAACCAAACCTGCATGCAGACTAATAAACCCAGCTAAAAGTGAACTAGGTAGAATAAGTAAAAAAATACCAGAAAAAATTAATTCTGAACTAAGGAAGAAATTAGGAGTAAATCAGTGGAAAAACACAAAAGCAACTTTGACGGTGCAGAGACCTGCAAAATCATAGGTATATATTTACTACATGAACTAAGTTAAATAATAGATAAAAATGATACAGTACTCTACAGGGACAACAGTCTCATAATCTTAAGAAACTACAACAAAAGACAGACAAAGCTAGAAAAGCAATAATAAGGATTTTTTAAAAATAACAGATTTGATATAGATATAAAAACTAACCTAAATGAAATAGATTTTCTAGATGTTACCTTCAACCTAAGAAAATGCACATATAAAGCATACAGAAGACCCAATGATAAACCATTGTACATACACACATCCTCCAATCACTTGCCTTCAATAATCGAACAGATACCAAAATCTATTAACCACAGGCTTTCCGAAAATTCTTGCAAGAAAACCGTATTTAATGAAGCTAAGAAAGACTACGAAACAGCCCTAAAAGATAGTGGATTCCTGGCAACACTCACATACTCAGCACAGAGCACAAAGGCCAACAGGAAGAGAAATATCATATGGTTCAACCCACCGTACAGCAAAGTGTAAAAACAAACGTAGATAAAATATTCTTCAAACTCTTAAACACTTCCTGGAAATCAAGCACTCTACACAAAATATTCAATAAAAACACTGTAAAAATCAGCTACAGTTGCACTGAGAACATGACACAAATAATAAAAAAGCACAACAGAAAAACTATCAACAAACCACCTGAACAAATTAAACCCGCGTGTAACTGTAGGATAAAGAATGAATGTCCCTTAAACGGTAATTGCTTACAAACAACTAATATACCAAGCCACGGTAAAAATCACCAGATAATGAAGAAAAAAGTATACATAGGAGTAACTGAAGGACCCTGGAAACAAAGAAACTATGCACACAAAACATCTTTCACAAATAGTAAATACACAAACAGCACAATGCTTTCTAAGTATATCTGGGAAATTAAAAACAAAACACAAATTGCACCAAAAATATGGAAAATAAGGAAAAGATCATCAGCCTACAAACAATCAAAAACCTGCAAACTTTGCTTGGAGGAAAAAAATAGCTATTATTACCTTCCCAGACCAAAATAAATTACTAAATAAACGATCTGAGCTCATCTCAAAATGCAGACATGAAAACAAATTTTTACTACTTTAATTAAAAATCAAAAACTAAAATGAATACAAATAAACAAAATATATAAAAAAAACAAGTAAAATAAATTAACCCAAACAAATAAATTAACAAACCACTCCTGTTAGAATAGATGAAATAGAATAAATAAAAATAAAAAATAAAATACATAAAAAACAAGTAAAAATAATCAACCCAAATAAATAAACAAATTAACAAACTATTCCTGTCAAAATAACCGTTAGAACAACCAATCCAAAAATTGGGGTAAAAATGGCTAACTACTATAAAAACAATAAGCTATTCAAAAATCGAAAACCAAATAGGGCAAATAAAAATATACAAAATAAAAAATAAGTAAATAAAAAACAAATAAAAATTAATCCCAAAAAACAAATAAAAATTAAACCCATAAAGAAACAAATAAAATTAATCCCAAAAAAAACAAATAAAAGAACAAATTAACAAATCGCCCCCCCCCACCCGCTAAAATAACCGTTAGAACTAATAAGAATAAGCATAAATAAGCAAAAACAATGAATCCAAATAAATAAATCAAAAACTGCCCCCCGGCCAAAATAATAGAACAGACTATGGTAAGCAATCTAAACACTGAACGAATAAATAGCCTTAATTATCTTCCCAGACCAAGACTAACTATTAAATAAATGACCTAAGTAAATCCCCACCCCCCAATTTTTTTTCTTTACTGCATTAACATCAAAAACTGAAAAGAATAAATAATACAAAATGAAAAACAAATAAATTAACCCAAACAAACAAATAAACAAGCCACTCCTGCAAAAATAACCGCCAGAAACAGCCTGTCACCAAGTGTTGACTTCAATGTTTGCTATATATATATATATATATATATATATATATATATATATATATATATATATATATATATGAGAAAGATACCAATTTATTTTTACTAAATATGTATTTAAAAAAACTATGAGTGTGTAATGAAAAGTTGTTGACCTAATCCACTTTACAAAATCTGACCAAATATCAGGATTCATTTTGGAATGCTTTTGGTTGGGCCAAAACCGTTTTAGCATCCCTTTATATGTATCTCATTGATGCAAAGGATTGGAGAATTTAAAACTTGTGTCATAATTAAAACACTTAAAAGTTATCTTTCCTTTTCAAAAAAGGAAAGGAAGGATTTCAGTTAATGGTATTTTTATTTATTTATTTTTATTTTTTTAGTGATTAAGTGAGAAAAGCAATAAAATGTAGAAAAAAATTTCTGTTGTTGAAACTATTCTAAAATTTATAAAGAACTTGCACAAAAACAGAATAAAATTGATTTTTAGCATTGGTAACCCCTAAAGCAAGTATTTTAGCAACACAAAACATATCTCTGTAGATGGACTAGCTGAGAACTTACTACCTACTCAATAAGTACTCATAATGCAATTTCCTTCATAATAGTAACAATTAACTTTTGGTCTTATATAAATGAATAAAGAAAAGAATACCTTTTTGTCAAGTAAGTTTTCAATAGTGTTATTTAAAGTAGCTTTATAGAAGGTTTGTTGCAGTTTAGTAAGTGGGCAGAAAACTATAATTTCTTTTTTAGGTGGAATCACCAATTCTACATCTGACTTGAGACGGCGAAGCATGAAAGGTGTTAAAATCTGAAAGAAAAAGATAAAACAAATTTAAAAAAAAATCTTTAATTTTACAATTTTGGCTAAAATAATAGTAAACTAAAACAACACTTATCAACTGCAAACATGATGGTTGTAGCTTAAAATGCTGAAGTAACATTTTCATTCTAGTCCATCTTATTTTAAACATTAACTAATGAATATGTGGGAAGCATAGCAGTTGTTGGTGTGAACAGGGCCGAGTCTGTTGCATTCACTTTCGCACAAAAGCTTTTGGAAAAAGCATTAATCAATCATTTGTCCCTTCATTTATATTTTAAATAGCAGGGTAAATTTGGCTCTCTAGGTAGTAAGAAGTCTAGGAGAGAGTACTCTGAATTCAAAGCTGTGAAGATGATAATGAGAACCACTATCTTTACCAAGATGTTTTGACAATTCACAATCCTTAAAGAAAAGGACATGGGCAAAATCTTCATTTGCCTATGTCCTGAAAGAACATGGAGAGAAAAAAAAAAAGAAAGATAAAGAAAAGAGGACTCAACTGTATACTGCATAAGCATAAATGTATATGTGATGCTATGATAAATGTGTGTGTATGTGTGTGTGTATATATATATATATATAAAATAAATAAAAAAAGGAACATAAAAACTAATAAAACATGGAATTACCTGATGAAGCATGGAAAGAATGTGATCCTTTTGTTCAGTTGCCATAATTTCTTCATTTGCATCTTGTTGACTGATTCTCTCGATATCAAACCAAGATTCAAAACTGGAAGGGAAGCAAAATTATATCTAACTCTTAATATCCTTCACAGAAGCATATTTTAACACAAAAAATAATTAACAAATAATATTGATAAATCTGGATTTTGAAATCGTCAATAAATCAACTCCCAAGTATATAATTAAAATGTATGCTCTTCTGTAGTATATATCAAATGTTTAACAATGTGCAAATATAACTGGGTCTACTAATATGCAAAGAAAATGCATAAAAATAATTTTATAATTACTAACAATTTACTACAAATATCTCTCAGATTAAAAACAAGAAAGGCTTCAAAATGCTGACCTTCGTAAATCATCAAATAATTCAGGTAAGAGGAAATTTAAAAGTGACCATAATTCAGATAAACTGTTCTGCAGTGGTGTCCCAGTGAGTAGAAGCCGATGTGTAGTGTTGTATAAACGCAGTTCCCTGAAATAAAGATTACTCCAACTTAGAATCACAATAAATTACTTCCTGATAAATTTTATAAAGTACAATTTTTTTTTTTTTTTTTTTTTACTTTATTAGGCCTTTATATTAAGGCTAATTAAGTCTTGATAAATGCTGCCATGCACTGAAATTTGGAATCTGATGTTACAATTACAAATAAAAATGAGTTTAGTTAGTTTTCATTTTAACAATAATATGTCAAATATGTTGGACTGATCTAAAGATGAAAAGCATATTTACTGATTAGAACAGCAGCAATTAAAGCAATAATTTTATTAGACAAAAAGCAGAAACAAATTTATCCATGTAAAGTATCCAGCCAGTTTGTAGACTAAAAAGATTCTCTGTTGGTTTGGTCAGGACAGCAAGATACATTTCATGGCAAGAGTTACATGCTATTTGAGAGAGACACAAAAACTAGTTGAATGTTTGTCAAAAAAAAAAAAAAAAAAAAAAAAACTGAGCAGTTATAAAGAAGATAAAGCTGATTGATGGTTTCCATATTTAATTATTCTAAAGAAATGTTAAGGAAAACACAGATAAAATAAACATTTCAAGAGTTTAATATTTTAAGACTATCCAAACTACCATATTTGACAGCATATAAGGTGCACTTCTTTTAACTAAAAATAGCTTAAAATTCCCCTGCATCTTATATGCCATATGTAGACTTAAAATTTGCGATAGTCGGCCGAAATTAGCTACCTGGCAACTCCTATTAGCTTAGACTTTAGAGTAACTTTCATATACCTGCTGTCATTATTTAAAAGGCTATTATGCAGATTAAAAATGTTATCATTGATAATATTCATTATACTAATTTCATCACATTTGATATTAATACTTTGTTTCACTAAAATTATATGCAATAAATTCAAATTATATATTTCTAAAAATATATTTGTTTCATTAATATTTTTCTTGAGATAACTTCTGGTTGCATTGGTATAAATACAAACAAAATTTTTATATCCTAATTATTCTACTAAGACATTTACAAGACTCAGATTGTACAGATCATATAAAAGGTAAATTTTTGACCGAATTTCACTCCTTCAGATATGACAACAGTGAAGAAAAGAAACTGTGACCTTCACCACCCAGTCCCACACTGGCCTGAAATTGAAGAGAAAATTAAAATGTGGGTTGTAGATTCAAGGAGTACAAGCAGAATCATTACTACAAAAATGATAAGGAATGAGGCTAGAAGATTAGCAAATGAAAAGGGGATTCAAAACTATAGGAACAGAAGGATGGTGTTATTATTTTGTGAAACGGGAAGGTTTGTCAATGCATACAAAAACATCTATTGCACAGAGAATGCCAGTTGACTATGATGACAAAATAGTAAAGTTTCATAAATTTGTTATACATGCTAAAAAAAACAAAAAAAACAACTCCTTTTGAACTAGGCCAGATAGTGGGAGTTCATCCATATTTCTTAATGTTTGATGTTCCATCAAACAAAACTGTGAGTATTAAGGGACCCAAGACTAGTACAATAAAAACTACAAACCATGAGAAGACCCATTATACAGTCATTCTTGCATGTTACACTGATAGCACAAAACTGCCTCCTTTTCTGATTAAGAGAAAAACCACACCAAAAGATAAAATATCAAAAGGTGTTCATGTTCATACAAAAGGCTGGATGGACGAAGCAGGTCTACAGTCATGGCTATGAGTTGTATGGGAAAGACATCCTGGTGACTATTACGAAAGCCCTCTCTTCTGGTTTGGGATCAGTTTCGAGCACATAGAACTGAATCCATTAAAAAGAAAAGTGGCAGAACTGAAGACAGAGATAGCGGTTATTCCTGGTGGACTAATGAGTCAGTTGCAACCTCTGGATGTGTCTTTGAATAGACCATTCAAGCAAAACATGAAGGAGCAATGGAACACATGGATGGTAATGCCTGATCACAACCTTACATTTACAGGAAGAATAAAAAGACTCAGCATTACACAAGTTTGCAAATGGGTTAAACAAGCTTGAGACAATATTAGACCAGAAATTATTGCGAAATCTTTTAAAAAGTGTGGCATTAGCAATGCTCTCAATGGAACAGAAGATGACGCATTATATAACAACAATGATAGTAGTATCAGAAATGAATATCAGAGTTTTGATAATGAAGACAACGAATTTTATGGATTTGAAGATGAATAAAATTTTAATGGTAACTGTACTGTTTTGCTCAATTGTAATAATTGCTTGACTTTTGTTTTCTGATGTTTGGACAAAGTTTTTATAGACTTGTGTTCTTTTTTTCCTATTATTTTTCATTTAATTGTAATCATGGTTTGTTTAACCAAAATAATACCTCATAAATATAGCCTAAGCTGTACCATTAACTACTAATTTTATTAATCACCAATTTTTTTTCTTGATTTGCCCTGCTGAAATTGGGGTGCATCTTATATAGTCAAATACAGTAAATTGATTCCTTAACACTATTTAACATGAATGAACGAAATATTTTCTAGTATATCTTGTAATTATATTGCCAATCTGACTGAAATTCATAATAAAGGAGGAATATTCAGAACTGATATGAAAAAAGGAAAATGAACTTTGAAGGAGTTGAAGCACTAATCAGGAAAAAAAAGAAAAAAAAAGAAAAGAAAAAAAAAGAAAAAAGTGTTATAAACTGGCAAACCTGTATACTTCAAAAACTGAAAATACCATTAAGTCACTGTTATATACTAGTGATGTTCCCAAAGTAACAAATGAAATAAAGTTTGTGCTTCACAATGTTAAATGAAAAAAATACTAGGCAAAGATGATATAATGAGAGACCTTTTGAAAGATGGGAGAGAATTCCACAAAAGATTGGCATAAGAATTTACCCAGTATATATAGAAAAATAAAATACTTCAAAATTTCAATCTAGGAACAGTAACTTTACTTTATAATAAAACAAAAGATCTTAACTATTGTTCAATCACATATAAAAATTCTCAAAAGTACTTATAAACAAATACTCTAGATGAAAACTAGTCATGTGAACAGATAGGTTTTAGTTGTTGCTACTCAACAGTAAACCATTAATTAATAAAAAGACTATAACCACTTTGTTTAGTATTTGATGACTATGAAAAAGGCATTTGACTCAAGAGAACAATTTTTAACACACTAAACAAAGTATTAATGAAAAAAAAAAAAAAAAAACCTATATAAGAGTTATTGAGAATATATACAATACCAGTACTGCAATAATTTGACAAAACAATGACTCAAATAAAATATAGACTGGAAAAGGAGTGAAGCATTTAACAGAAATATAAATGTAGTGAAAGAGATAATCAGCTACCTTGAAAAAGAGTGTGTTTTGTGTGCGATCTGCTGAAGAAAAATTACCAAAAAGTAGTTAGCAAAAATCTACTTTAAGGACTAGAATCTATGCTAATGTTCTTCCCTCCCTTGAATGGCGTGACCAATCAGAAAGATATTTCTGTGAACAAAAGCCGTTGTTTTTCACTTATGTGAGCATTAGATTTTCTGAGCTTGGTGAACGAACATGCGTTTTTGCTGGTGAGAAGTGAAGGTCGGATTTGTGACCCCATTTTGTTGTTTCTTCGGTGCCTGCTGGACTGTTATGACGGACTATCGTTTGAACTGTGATTTGGCTACAAGTGTTGCAGTCGAGAGACAGAAGAAATCTATTTCAGACGTTTGTTACTACTATAAGCTGACAGTTTTCTTTTTTTTTTTCTACCTTTTCTTTTCCTTTACAAGAACAATAAATGAAAATACTTTACAATGAAATAAAACGTATAATGTCAGCAATGATGCATGAGTATAAACTCAACTCTAGATGAGATAAGAAATATCATCAAAGTAATTATACAACAGCAGGTGGGCATAATACATTTGCAAGAAGATAACACATTATTTGATTGGTACCCAATAGACTGCAGATGTAGGAGGAAAAATCCCGATAAATGGAATGGAGGGGTATTCTTTAGACATTTAAGCAACAGTATATCTCAGAATTGAAAAAATACTTTTTTTTTTTTAAATCATTTTACATGGGTTGTGGGAGGGGGTCCTGTTCATAATATCAACTGAGTGTAAAATTGATTCATGACTTTTACAAAGTTGTTATTTACAAATGTCAAGTTTGACAATGTGCTTGATATCTATGTTTTTTTATTTTAAATTTTCTGAATTAAAAATGGAAGAACATACACAAACATTGAGGGATAATAATTATTAATCTTAAATGAAGTATAAACCTTTAATAATTTATGGAAATATTTTTTTTGTTCGTTAATTAAAAGAATTCTTTTCATAAGAAAAAAATGCTTTCATATGCAGAACAACTTAGTCCAATAACTAAAAGAATCTAAAAAAAATAAAAAATAATGAATCAAATTTTCCTCAGATTTTTAATATTTTAATTCGTGTCAAATTAAGGGACGCAACTCATAGCCTAAAATAAGAGTTGTGGGAAATGGTTTTCATATTCCTGTTCTAAAAGAGTAATAGTTATGCATTTAAATGATTAAAAATGATTATGGCAAGTGTGGATAATTTTTGATTCAAGCATCTTCCTGTGAACCAGTGCTCTATGGAACCAACTCTTAAGAGGATATTTTCCTCTGATCACTACAATGTTAACCTGTTCATATCTAGGATTAAAAGGTCAGGAATACTAAAATCAAGCAGGTACAGAAATTTAAATATCTGGGAAGTGTTCTAACAGAGGATGGAAAGTACGACACAGATCTGAAGATATATTGGGATGGCCAAAGATGCATTCAAAAACTAAGCAGAGTATTAAGAGACAGAAAAATTTCGTTTTAAACAGAATAAGGTACTGAACTCTTATGTGATATCCGTTCTTCTGTATGGCAGCATATGCTGGATAATCTCAGATATGAGGAAGAGACTTGAAGCAATAGAAATGTGGTTCTATAAAAAGATGCTGAGGATACCATGGACCAAACATGTGAGCAACAACAAGGTTTTGGAGAGAATGGAAACAAAAAGGAAACTCCTACTTAACATCAGGAAGAGGCAGTTGAAATTTCTGGGGAACATAATGAGAAAGGAGTGCTTGGAAAATCTGATACATACAGGAAAAATTGAGGGAAAGAGAGAGACATTGGAAAGCAGCACATTACATACTTGATGGGCTTGAGCAAATGGCTGGCAGAAATAACAAAAAGAAAAACTTATCTAAATGTATCTAGCTTGTAGCATTATTGAATATTTTTTTCATTTTATTTTTGTTGATTTTCATTGCCACACCTCATTTTTCTTAAGCTGTAACCCAACCTTATTGGAGACTACTTATTTCCAATTGGTGTAGTTGACTTATTAGTATTGTTTTTTTTGTGTTTTTTTTAATGGCTTATCAATCTTTTGTGGGTTTTAAAGCCAAAACATTTTTTCATGCTAAGAATTTTTTTTTTTTTTTGCAAGTCAATTTCTTGGAGATAATGTTTTTTCAGATACAAGTGCTACTAAGATAAAGAAATGGATCCAGACCTTTCCCAAGGTTATTTGTGTGTAAACAGATGTAACAAACTCAAATTCTAAGCTGCTATCCTGACTTAACAATATAAAAAACCTGATCATTACAATGTGTGTGTGTGTGTGTGAGAGAGAGAAAGAAGATAAAATGTCTGGATATTTTATTCATGTAAAAGTCATATAGTTTGTATAAAATAATTTTTAAGGATGTTAAAATGCATTTAGATAATGATTGTAGAGGCAGTATTTTTAATCATATCTTAATTGCAATTCAGGTTTCCATTTAAAAAAAAAAGAAAAAAAAAAAAAAGGTATTTTTCTCCATTCAAGTCAAAATTAGCATGGATCAACTTTTTGAATTGGAAATATCTACTCATTGATTTTTTTTTGTCATTTTTCTCATTAGAAAATTTCATGATTGTTCTGTAGTCAAGCAAATTATTGGTAGACGATTTCAATCAAAAGTGATTGGATAAATTAAGATAATCTGAAAATTAATAAGCAATAGGGTTACTTGTTCATGAATGGAATATAATCTCACATTGATTTCTTAAATTATGGATACCAGGTTGTTTAATCAAATTCATTTGTGAGCAATGAACAATTTGGAGTATAAGAAATAAAATTAAACAACTAAAAAAATAAGTTTACATCTTTCATTATCACTCTTGACCAATCTGCATTCAATGATGATTTTCTAAGTAAACTTTATGAAGATAAAAATTATCAACTGAAATAGATTAGCATCACTAAAAGTTATAACTTCAACCTCATGAAATTAGACAACTATTCTTTCTGGACAAATTCTTTGTTAAAATATTTACTTTAAATTTTGTATTTTTTTGTTTAAGTTTTGTTCATGCAGATCAACAATAAAATTGTTATTTATCAATAATTTGAAAACTTATTTCAAAGAGGAGATTGAAAAAGTTGAAAATATTTATTTCAAGGAAAATAGATTTTAATATTCAATTGTAAAATATTTTAAAGCTCAATAAAATTCTTAGTTTCAAAATATGATTTCATGGAAATATACATAAACACACCAAAATGAAAGTATAAAAGGACAAAAATCTAGAGTATTATTTTAAGATGCTTAAGTACTTTTTCAAAATAAAGATTTTTATTTTTTTATAAACATTTCTAAATCTAAAATTGATTCAAATGTCAAGAAAACAAATCAATGATTATAAACAACCATCAAAAGATTTAAATCACTTAAAAACAGCTTCAGAATGAAAAAGAACACCAAGTCAAAACTGACCCAAGAATCAAAATGGAAACAGGATAGATGAATTTTAAATATGCATTCTAAAAATGAAATAGCTCAACAACAATTTAGAAGATCTATGACTTACCTAATAAGACGACAGTGGGTGTTTTTTATTCTCTGACCTTCATCGACAATAAGGTATTTCCATTTGATATGAGATAGTAATTTACGGTCATTCATGATAATCTCATATGATGTTATGATAACAGGTAATACAAATACATTGTCACCTAATTTCTTGAGTTTAAGCATCTTTTTTCTGAGAGTGGAACGAGTATTTCTATCTCCATGGTACAGAATGACAGGAAGCTGAGAAGAGAAAAAAAAAAGAAAAGAAAAAATTTAACAGAAGAAAAATGTTTCTTCTTATGACTGCTTTTATCTAATACACTAGCTGAATACCTGACACTGTCTGGGAAATGAAGCATTCATTGGTGAGCATTTGATTAAAAGAAAAACAGAATTTAAAATGCTTGATTATAATTGTGCCTAAATTATAAATGGCGTCTAACAGAATATTTTCTGTGGAAAATAAGACTAAGACAGCTACACAAAAGAAACATGTTACTTGAGGTTTGCTGAAAACAGCTGAATAAAAATATAGTCAATTAAGAACATCATGATAAAACAATCCTCACCCAGTTTCATCAGTTTCTATGATACCTAATTTTGTTTTCTATCTATAGAAATATCAAAGATTAATTTTAATTTCAGTTCTATTTTGTTCCTAGTAAGAAAATCTTCATTTTGGATGTCTTATCAATTGGTCAGGATAATTCCCCCCCCCCCAATTTTACTCATTTAAACATTGTTCCTTTCCTACCTTGTTTGCATTTGTTGCAATATCCTTGGGCTCTACCTTAAAGCATGTGCTACCACAATAATTGCAGGATTAGTAATTGTTGCAAACTACTGAAGTTTGAAAAGATACTACACTGTGTGTATGTGTGTAGGTTTAAATAAATGGTATTTTCCTTGGAGCATACCAATTCAGAATATGGATAATTTTACAGGTGTCTTGTAGTCTGAGAAAAAAAAAAAATGAACATGCAAACAGCTCACTTCTTTTCTTTCAAAAATTTTATTTTGATGAGAAAATTTATATAACTTTTTTTCTTGAATGGATGTCTTATATTGCCACAGTTTTACACTGCCACCTTTAATTCTTTTTTTCTTCCTGTAATCATTGGAACTGTGATCTAAAGGAAACAGACTGATTCCTTACTTGATTGGCATAATATATCACTATTAAACTTTACCAACACTTTAACTGACTGATACTTTCATTGTTGCATGCTGAGTATATATATATATATATATATATATATATATATATATATATATATATATATATATATATAAAAACACAGGTAAGAGTTGCTGAAAAGTTCTTCGCTTGACCAAAAAGGCCCTTAAATAAAAAAAAGTTTCTTCATTTGGTCAGATTTTTGGAAGTAGGTTGGCTCAAGAACTTTTAATCATTTCCTTGTAGAAGATCCCAGTAAAAAATAAAAATATAAAAGTTATTTCTTACCTGTGGTGTAAAACGTTCAAACTCTGCAACCCAATTTGGAATAGTAGAAAGAGGGGCACAAATTAAAAAGGGGCCTTTGACACCCATTGAAGCAAGATGACTCACTAAAGCAATACACTGAACAGTTTTACCAAGACCCATTTCATCAGCTAAAATTCCATTCACACCATTTTCATAAAGCATCTGTAAAAGAAAAGGAATCATTAAATTCAATTGTTTTCAAAATTATTTTGTACTAATTCTGCTAAATCTATTAATATCACTAAATCATTTCAGATCTTTTTATATCTGCTGAATGAACCAATAGTTTTAAAATTAGTTTCAAGTTAGGATGAAAAAAGGCTTAATTTTGTCAAACTGATGTTATAATGTTGATTCACATAAATATATACAACCAAATGAATCAGTCTTCTAATTAGCCCAGCTATTATCTGTAACTTAAGATAAACTACAAAATGTCTTGCTTGAATCTATTGTGACTTAATTCTGACACTTACCTTCAACCAATTGTAGCCATCTATCTGATATGGCCGTAACACACCTCCAACAAAGAGTAATGGTTGAGACATTGGAACTGATTCACCATTAATTTTTCGGTTGTATAATGCATTGGTACCTTCATCTAAAGATAGATCCTCCTACAAGAAAATTAAGTAGGAATTTCAAAACTTACGTAATTGTTAACTTAAAGGACGTTTTGAAAATGTAATCAACTTTATAGATTTAGGATACTTATTACTCATACAGGACTTTCCTTTACCAAAAACTGGGCTAAGAACTTTTCAGTTTATATGTAGTCAAACCTTATGAATATCAATCGTAGTTTAGAGAGACAGAGACTACTTTTTATAATCCTGTGGCCAGTAGTAGTTATAAATGATACAAAAGTGATTTAACTTCTTTAATTTGAAATTGGAAAAACAAAATCATGTAACTGTTAAACATAGAATTAAATATGAATATAGTTAAAAATAGATCAATCAGAACATACTGATTTTAATGTGTGGAAATATAACAAAGGATATCAAAATTTACCTTTTAGAATCAGGTTGTCTGAAAATTAGTTATTTTTGTCAACATAAAAAAAGTTTGAAATAAATTAGTTTTATAAACACGGTAAAATACTTTCGTTTCAAAGATTTTCTTTAAAAGATATATGTAAAAGTATGAGAGAAAAAAAATTCAAGATGTGTGTTGATGGACAGCCTTTCATATATGCAAAATAATTTTAACATTTTTAAGACTAATTTTGTACAGTTGAAAACTACAAGCAGGAAAAGTTCCAGAACGAAGAAATGCTTACAATATCTTCAGAAAATTCTTTAGCCTGATCAACATCTTCATTCACTGTTTTTTCAGCCTCACTTCTATTGCACTCTTTTTCAGCATCAGAGAGTTTACTTTTCTTACAATCCTTAAAGAAATTGAGAGAGTATGAAAAATACAAATGGTTTACATGAAAGGTTGTCAATTTGTAATACTTTTTTATTAAAATTTGTTTTAAGACTTGTTATAATGAAAAGACTTAACCATGACCTGAACAAGTATTGTGAGATTTACAATCAGTATTGTAAATCACACAGAATACTTGTTCTCAAGTATATGAAAATGTACAAGTTAAAGCTCTATAGCTATCAGTAATTGATACAAAATTTAAGTAAAAATTTAAAAATGTTATAAAAATTGAAATCTAAATAGATCTACCTACCAGTTTTATTCAGTGATTTCTACTAATATGAACATTGAAACCAACATTGTATTCAGAAAATGAATGTTGCGTGAATCAAAATATATGCGTTTGAAAGATTTACAATACAATTTTCTCAATTCATAAAATCAAGCATTACAATAAATGAATGAAAATACCTACAGGACTCTCAGTAGTATCAGGTAAGGGTCGTTTCTTTTTAGATTGTATAAAACAGGCACCTGAGAAGAAATAGTCAAGTTCAGAAATACTTAAGACTAGATTTCAACTTAATATATGAAATATATTATTACAAACACTCCAAAACTAAATTATCTTAAAATGAAGTAAAATTAAAAACTGAATTATTTATTACAAAACTGGCATTTTTTAAATATATATAATGAGGGATTTTTCTAATTTATTTAATCTAAGAATTAGAAATAAAAACCATATTGATCCTTTCATTCATTTGTTATAATTGTTTTAAGTGTTTAATAATTTTGGTCAAGCGTTTAAAAATTAAAATTTTTTAATATACATTTTTTATGCATCCATAACAAAAATAAAGTGTTAGCCATTCTTTTTTTAAATAATAAAGTAGGGTGATGATAGAATACACACAAGTACTTCTACATACTTGACTGGTCTTCATTTTCAGCTTTAACTGTTTCACAAGGCTGCTTGTTCTGAAGAACAAAGAAAGAGAAAATCTTATAAAATTCAGAAAAGTGTTTTTAAGAGATCAGTTTCAAAAGAATTCTAATTACTCTGCTGAAATATACAAGAGTTTTGGTAAAAGATAAGTGCTCGACAGAAAAGTTTTCAAATAACTTTTTTTAGCAGTTGATTTTTGTAAAATTTCATGATTTCATTAAGTAAAATAAAGGATATTACAAACCCATTTTAATTTCTCTTCTCTTCTACGATCTTGCCTAGCTTTGATTTGGGTCATCAATTTTTTGTTTCTTGCTTCTTCCTCTTCCTGTCTTTTCATTCGTTGAAGCAAGTACTGTGTGTATGCATTACATTTTTCTAGTAAAACTTGCAGTCTTTGGTATCTCATCTTGTGAGATATTTCATCTGTGTTTTTCCAGTACTATCAAAAAAAAAAAAAAAAAAAAAAACTTTAGGAAAGTTAATTAAGATTATAATAACTAGCACTATAATTCTGAAAGATAAACATTTGAGGATTAAAAAAAAAAAAAAAAATGCAAGAACAAAAGCAATTCAAAAAATAATACAGAGAATGGCTAACTTCCAAGAAATCTCTTCTTTATTATTGAACACTATTATAAAAATGAAATATTTAAGTATGGTTTGAAAGAATTACAGTTCATGTATAAAACAAACTAGCTACTGGAAAAGATACTGCTCCTGTTTGCAATAATTTATTTTTCCTCTGAGATGAAATGCAATAAAGTGCACCAAAGCAATCATCAGGGTTGCATTACTCTGTCAATGCATTTACCATGGAATTATCAAGGGAGAAAATTAGTTGGGTGTTAACTGGACAAACATTTGAGTTTCACCATTCAGCTTCTTTTTTAGTGTATTAATTGTTACAAAGTTGCAAATCCAAATAGAATGAGAGAAAACTCACTGAGAATACTGTAATTCTATGTCTGACTATCAATTCCATATTAAAGAAATCCAAGTTAGTATGAAAATCAACAGAAAATTAATTTGAAATTCAATTAAGAAAAAAGGACTACATTAAATAAAGCCAATATAAATAAGATTTTTTTTCAGTCAAAAAGTAACACTTTCATAATTCCCCTCAAAAAACTAGAGAAACCATGCTGCATGTCAGATCCACCAGACAGACAGAATGCTTGAATATGATCAACCAGTAAGAGAATTTAATGAAACAAAAAAAAAAAAAAAAAAAAAAAAGGTATGAAAGTAAATAACCCAACCTCCTCTTGTTCATTTTTTAATTTCTCTTCAGCCTCGATTGAATTTTGTTGCAATTGCTGCTCTTCTTGTAGTATATCATTTGTGATTAGTTTTTCAGAAGTGGATTTGCTTGGATCCTATAAAGAAATAAAGAATTTGGACTAGTTAATCAAATTTTAACAAAAAGAATATTTCATAAGGACAACAAATTCAGATTATGCCATATCCCCAAACCTGTTTGTGATATGACTGAAGTTTATATTAGCTATTTGGAAGTCCTTGACCTTTTCAAACTTTATTTTTGTTGAATTTGTTGAATTTTTTTTCATTAATAAAACAGTCCAATAAGAGAAAAAAATATGGCAAAATAAAGATTTTTTTTTAATATACCCTTCAGAAAGATGAATCTATATCCCAGTGCTGTCTCATTGTCAAATATCTTCTTGCTGGCATGGCAAGATATTTGAGGTTAGTACTCGAGAAAAACACTCTTCCATAACTGTCATACAAACATGAGTAACAGTAAAAAATAGCTTATTGTAGATCTTTCATGGTGACTGTCAAAGTAAAAGTGTTCAATCATAAATTTCTGTAATTCTGAAATTAGTGACAAAAAAAACTTTTAGATAGCTAAAAGTTTTCAATTTTTATTGCACTCAAAATTCTAACATCAGTTTTGGCAATCCCTTTGGATTCTTACTGTAAACAATGTTAACAAAAGTCATTAATATATATGCCAGTGTCAAATTTTAATATATGGATTTTAATTCAGACAAGCCATTCAGAAGAAATTTTTTTTTAAAAGTTTAAATAAAAATACGGATTTTTTTCAGTCAAGTCTTAAAATAAGTATATATAATAAATTATTGATTACAACAAGAATTTCCAGATTCTGTTTATTTTCAAATTAATATTAATAAAACTGAAAAGAGATAGACATGAATATTTATCAGTAATCAAGCATATTCATAATTAGTTATTTACAAGCTCAAGTTTATAGGTTTAATGTGGGGAGCCCGAGCGCGTTACCCGGGCAAGGAACAAAAATTCCCCAAGCCCCCGCAATCGTCAGTTGCACTGGCCTAGGGAAGCTGTTCCCCAGCACTGGGCACCTCTCCAGTATAATTTTCCTCAGTTGCGACTGTCCTTTGACGGAGTCACCTCTGAGCATACTCTGTCCAAGTCCAGATACACAACTGAGAGATGATAGAGATTTATTTCGTATAAATACAAAATTGTGGCACAAGGCCGAAAAGGGGAAGGGGGTAAAAGGCTGGTCTTCACTATCTTATACCTAGCTAATTTGATTCACGGCCCATTCAGACATTACAATTTACTCATTCACCATAAGAACTTGTCCGTCACCAATCAATCCTCCATGCACCATAATACCACATCCACTCTAGGGAGACCTACAAAACGCGCCCCGTGTCATAATAATTTAATGATCCTAACACATATGTACAAAAAATTCTAAGATGAAAAAAAGAGGGGGGGGGGATGACCCCAATAACGAACTAAAATATTAACATAAATGAAATTAAACGTTAACTGATATTAGTAGGGCCCGTCCAACCCTCAAAAGGCAGGGAGACCACTGTATTCTGCCCACTGGAACAAAATCAAGCAGCTCTCTCGCTAAGGGGAGTGGGAAAGGTGATAAAAATCATACGGGCATGGGGAAGTATAAAGCTGACCCAGTAGAGATAGAAAGGGGGGGGCAAAAACAAACTGGGAGGTTGGGAATCTCAGGCTGGATCATAACTAAAGATGAGGCCGGGGGGGGGGGGGTCAACACTTACTCACATTAACTAGGTACACCAAAGCTTGCCTAACCTAACCAAGGGGAGGGCACCACAGGAAGCCACCCCGATGTAACGTAGGCTTGACCTAAAAGAGAGAATCAAGGTTAGCCCTGTTCACACGAACCAAGCTCGCCTCAGTCACCCACCTTTCGCTGAAGACTGTCGAATGCAAGCGTTTTCTATCAGTTCTGATCTTCATCTTGAGCTGATGCTCAAAGAATCGGATCAGATCCTGATGAGAAAGACGGATACCCCGCAAGACTTCCTCCTGACGTGTCACCCATATCACCATTCGGGCCGTGGCTAGCAGTGTGAGAAACACCATCCGTTTCACCCTGGAATACGGGGGTGACACATTGTCACACGCATATGCGCAATCCATGGGCACAAGCTTTTCGGGAGCAAGACGAGCCGTCAGCTCGCCGACATGGTCCCATAAGGGGCGGACCCAGGGGCAATGGAAGAAGGCGTGTGAAGCTGTTTCCTCTAGACCAAGGCCACACCGATCGCAGTCTGGCAAATCCGCCAAGCCCCATAGGAAGGCCCTGTCATTCAGAGGCAGCCGATTCCAAGCCAGTCACCAGGTAAGCGAAAACTCGGGGTGGCTCTCTCGTTGTCTTTTACACCCTCTATGATCGTGCGGATCAAATGCAGGTTGCTCTGAATTGTTCGACCACTCCACAGCACAGGTCTGCTCGGGACCCAACAGAAACTCGGCAACTGACTGCAAGCGCTCCTGCAGGATCTTGGCCATAATCTTTAACTCTGTGTTTAGCAGAGTTATGGGCCTGTAGTCGTCTAGTTTTCCCCCCCGACACCCTTGCCCTTTTCAACAGCGTGATCACACCCTGGAGAACTGGTCGGGAGGGAGGAACCAGTTGTTGAACACGACCGTCAAAATCGGGACAAAGATGCGACAGCCTCAGTACACTTCATAGGGCAGACCATCCAGACCGGGCGACTTGCCTCTGCCGACCTTTTTCAAAGCCGCGTAGACCTTGTCCTCGGTAATCTCTCCCTCGCAGCTAGCCGCTTCAGTTGGCAAAAGCCGAAGAAAGTCAGCCAAATAGTTGCAAAACTCGTCCTCACGAAGACCAGGCTCCCTGGTAAAACGGCTCTCGAAATGCTGCCGAAATGCCTCGCACATGTCGTCAGTGGCCCGAAGGGTGCGCCCCCTCTGGGGTTTCGACTTCACGAATGTAACGGTCGCCACCTCGATGGACCTCTTCCCTGCACAGATCTGCGCCCATATTCACGGCTTCGGAAGACATCTTGCTTAACCTATGTCTAATTACCTGGCCCATGTAGCGCTCACTATTCAAACGCTGCAGGTCCTCCTTAGCTACAGCTATCTCTAGGGGATCCCCCCCCAGCCACCGCCCGGGCATGACTAGCTTTAAGCATCCTCACCTTATCAGCTCTATCTAGGGCGAGCCGTTTGCTGAAATCAGTGGTGAAGGATCTAATTCTACATTTAAGTCTGTCCCACCACCTATTCCCAATAACCGCCCCCACTAGCTCCCGCTGCACTAAGCTAGTCAGCTGCTCCCGGAAGTCCTGCCTGTCCAGTAAAGACAGATTGAACTTCCAGTAACCAGCCATTCTAGGCCTATGTTCTAACACCACACGGGCACAAACGAGTTTGTGGTCCGTATAGCCTAACTGAGAGATGATAAGCAAAAAGAATAAGTTACACACTAAAAGCTCAATATCTGTATTATATATTATCTACTTCTAGGCAATATCACTCTTCAGGTTTAACTAATTTGCATATTGATTTTAAAAAAAGTTCATTTCATTAATTAACTGTCCTTCATTACTGTCCTTTTATTTGAGGATTGTTTTGATTTTCATATCAAAAATAGTTCTGTTTAGGAATATCACCTTATATAGTGCAGAAAAATGTTTGAAATTTGCATTTTACTTGGCCTTCAACAAGTTGACATCTATTAGTAAAATTCCTCAACTATAACAAGCCAATTTATGAAATTGGCATTTAAAATTTTTGATTCAATGACTTTAAGTAGTAAATATATCTTACTTTGCAAAGCGATAGCAAGCTGGTGAAACCTTGTAGTATATACAAAGCATAAAATGTAGCATTATACTTACCACCTTTTCTGTTTCTTCCATTCTAGATGTAGTTGCACTATTATTGTTCATTTCTTTTTGCAAAACTGAATTTACAGGGTCATCTGCTTTACCTTTCATAACATGTGCTCCATTTAACAGAGTTTCTCCTTTTTGGAAAATGAACAAGAGGATATATTTAAAATAAGAAAAATGTATAAAAAAAAAAAAATTGTAACAACTTGAAAATAGTATTTTGTCTCTAAAATTGTCTAATGGATGATTTTTCAAATTTTCTAATAGCAAGCTGATTAGTACAGAAGTTGGATATGAATAATGAAAAAACAGCAACCCTCTAAGTAGAGTATCCCAAACCAGCCTAATTTGCAAAAATGATTCAAAATAGTGAAATTTCCTACAAGTTCAACTGGAAATATTGATTATTTCTAAAGTTATTTTGATAAAATTAATATGTAAAGAAAATTTAATGTTTTCTCTTCATAAAGATACAACTCTTTCTATTGTGTGATAATTACTTTTTATTCCAGGTCTCTTTAAACAAGGTCATGTTTCAGTGATGGGCACTTTTTCCACATTTTTAAGTCAGAGAATTTTATGTTTGAAATTTGCTGCACTCAGAGTTGTGTGTTCCTACACATATGAAAATAGTCCCATCTTAAAGAAAAGAGGATGCTTTGGTGGGCTTAGAAAATTTTATGAAAAATAACTTCAAATTTTAGGTTGAAAACTTCAGTGGATGAAATACCAGAGAAATTCACTTTTTAAGCTTTTCATGGGTCTGTTTTTTTTTTTTTGCGCTGTCCATGCCTGGGTATTACTTTAGGTTTTTAGATGTCCATGTACTTATGATGAACATATAAAAATCTTCTGTTTAGTGGATGATCAACTGAACATCCTGAGATGGTTTCCTTGTAAGCAAAACAAAAAAAAAAAAATGAAGAAGGTCCCAAGTACTTGCAAAGTACAAAAAAGTTGCCAAAGCAGTTAAAAACGTTGTCAGATCTGGTGAGGTCTCATTTATTTTATAGCCCAACTTCTACAAATTTTATGATTTTAAGGGTCATGAAGTTTTAAAGGCTAAAAAAAAAAAAAAAAAAAAAAAAAAAAAAAAAAAAAAAATCTTTAAGAAGCACTCTTTTTTCCCCCTATTTCTTTTGTGATACAAGAATTGCACATTTTTACTTGCAGGTTTTTGCATGGTTCTGCAAACTATTCTAATACAAGGATGCAACTGTCAAAGGTTGATTGGCGATCTTTTATTTCTAAAGAAAGAAAAATATTTTCATGTTAAAACAATGTGATACCATAAATTGTCTGGTTTGTGTCACTTATGGAGTGTAGTGTGAGGTGAAATTGTAAGCTTGGGTAGGATTGGTCATTAGGTACAGTCTTAGTTTTGTTTAACTTAAGTGTTCATTTGATAAAGGAACTGTTCATTGGAATAAGTAACACAAACAAATCTTTATTATGTCAGGTTTGTGTTGATCAGGGATATAACACATTTTCAGATAGAATTGACAACGATATCTGTGATATCAGGACAAATGAGATTCTGGAACATGGAAAATGTTCCACCAAGAGTGGATATGATCAATGCAAAACCACAATTTTGATTGGCCTACTAGTGGGAGAAGGGCTAGGGTGGAGCTTCTCATCTTCCCCTCATACTTTTTTTGATTGGATTACCTTGGAAGCCTTCCTTCCTTCCTTCCTTCAAGGCATATGACATAAGACCATTGGTCAAGCATTATTATTGACTGGCCGATCAGAGCAGAGCAATAAGGGTTTGCACCCCCACCCCAAAGCAGTTGCTGAAAGAGCAGAGAAGTAAGATCAAACTGGTCTCGCCACTCGTAAACCAAAACTCTCCTTGCCAGATGACTGTGGTACCTCAGTCAGCTAAAGTCCTGTTCTCTGCAGTTTTTTTTTTTTTTTTTAAATTGCCTCAATCAACTGCCTTTATTTAAATAGTTGAACAACTGTTTAGCCATACCTGCAACTGCCTCTGCCAACCTCTTCCTTCCAACTTAAATAGGGAAAAGCTTTTGTTTATGAATTCATGATCTTAATAATAGTACCATAAAAAAAAAAAAAAAAAAATTGACTACTGATCTCTTTTGTAGAACAAATTTCAAAGTTTTGATGTTATCAGTCCTTTTGTGGAAAGTCAAAAATTGTATAAATTTAAAAAAACTTACCAAATATATTTATGAGAAAAAGTGTTAATATTATAGTCAAAATAACTTTTGTTGAATTCATCATCCCAAAATGATTAAAGTTTCAGGCTTGTACCTCCACTAGATACTTTTGTTATATTTTTTTTTACCCTTTTTTGCACTATCAAATTTTGCTTCCACCTGTACTTACATGGGGAAATAAAAGTTGTTTTACTGATGTACTCCTGTAAAAAAAATTAGCTTAATCCCTAAGATTCTATGGAACATATTAAGTTTTAATGACTTAACTGTAGAATTGAAATTTATATGAATGATCAAATTTGCCTTCCTGTGTTATTTTTGCAGTTTTTTTGGAAAGAACGTGATGATGATCCCCCCTCCCTGTTTAGGCTGGTCTTCTCTAATAATTAAACCCATTATTATTATCTTTCTTTTATGACTTAATGATATTGCATTTATAATGATTTTCCACTTGTTTGAAGCCTGCATCTTCACATATACACTGTTAAAATGGGCTTCTGACCCAATCGCACTCAAGACTGAAAATCCATCAAACTTTGAATGGTCATAACTTGGTTGTTAAGTGAGCTAGTAAGATAAATTTGGTAACATTTTTTTTGTTTTGTCAAGCTCTGTATGCCTACATGAAAAGCTTTGATATACTGAAGAAATAAATAGCTTGGGATACTCTAAGAAGAAAATACATTGCAACAAATTTTATAATATACTGACAAACTGTATTCTTTTTAACAAGAAACTGAGGAATGAATAGAAAAAATATGTTAATTATATTACGAATTTTAGAAATTAGTAATTGTTTGCTTATAGGTCAACTTGCATTTTACAAGAAAATTTTAAGTTTAAAGATTTTGTAAAAATAATTGAAACAGCAATTTTAAGGAAAAAAAAATCTAATTGTTTCAGCATAAAAAAATAAAAAGTGCAAACTTTTTCATCAATTTAACAAAAAATAAACCTTATAAAAATACAATATATATTGCTATTTCATTTTTCTTTGAACATAAAATATTTTTATACTGACTTGTACCAAACCTAGTGTATAATTAATTTTGGATAGGGTTATAATTATTACACTTCATAGAATTAGTGTTCATATATAAGCTACTTCCTGTGGAGGGCTCTTAATTAATCCCTCATCACAATAGGTAGGGGAGGAGTAGATGCAATAGGCAACAATAAACTACAGATGAACTCAAAACTGATCACTGCGTTTAAGCATTGCATTAATATTTAAGCCTATCTTTTAAGGTTCAACGATAATTCTTTTGCTGCCATTTAATTTAAAGACAATTTGATGTAGGCAGGTCCTTACTTTTACTAAAATAAATAAATAAATATATATATATATATATATATATATATATATATATATATATATATATATATATATTATTTATTTAGACATGTTTTTGAATAAAAATCTTTTTTTAATAGGTTCATAGCAAAACCTTCATTTAGTTATAGGACAGAGAAATTTGATTGAATAAATTTCTTTCACAGACTTCGATCTTTATCATCTTTGAAGATATAATTTTAAAATTAGCAAACATAATGTCAGTAATTTATTTAATCAGACATATATGTGTGTGTGTGTGTGTGTGTGTGTGTGTATTTAGGCAACAATCTCTCTTTCATGCACATTTCATTGAATACAACAGACAATGTGCTTTTATTGATGCGATTAATAAGGATGATAAATTATATAAAAACTGTCTGAATATTCTTTTAAGCTTTCATATATATTTAAATATATATATATATATATTTTCTAAGAAAATCAAAATGACCACTTTCAAAGATTTTTTTTTTTTTTATCTAGCTGGAATATATATATATATATATATATATATATATATATATATTTACAGAAGATATGATTATGTACATGAAATGAAAAATTTAAAATTTTGACATACAACATAATGTCAGTAATTTTTTTAATAAAGAATTGAATTAAGTCCTTTTTATGATAAAATTTAAAACATTTTTACCAAGAAAATATTTCCACAATAAATGATTCAGGATGTGCTGTTTGTGTGAATTAAATAAAGGCAATTCAATCTATGGTAAAATTTTCTTTGCACATTTCACAAAAATACAACAGACAAAATATGGGTTTTCATGCTTTTAGGGGGGTAAAATTTGAAAAATGACTGTTTTTTATAAACAATTTCTCATGAACTGAATCTGAAAACCCATGAAGGTATTTTCTGAAATCAAAAATAATTTTTTTTTTTTTGGATGATAAATTGAAAAAAATATAAAATTTTGCATTTTTTTCTTGTTCTAAATATTTCCCCATTAATGGGAAATTAACCATTTTTTTTTTTTTTTTTTTTTGAAAATCAGAAAGCCTAGATCATAATCAAACTATTTCAGGCATAGAGTTTATATAGGGATTCAAAAAACAAAATCCACATATCTGAAGAAAATCAATTTATCTGACCACTTTCACCAGAAACCAAAAGTTTTTTTTTTTTTTTTTTAAGGAAAATAAATCAAGACTTTGACGTCTAGGAATATATATATATATATATATATATACGGCAAACCTTTTCATAAACCCACCACTCCCAGGAATTGTTAGAGCAATTATAACCCTATGTTTGAACAATGAAAGTTTTTTTTTGTTTTTAAAAAATGTCAAAACAAGCAGAGAACATTGTTTTTTTTGACATACACTGGAAAAAATTTAGCCTTTCTTTTTTATTCAATGATTAATGCCAAATGAAAAAAAAAAAATTAAAATGAATATTTTCATTTCAGAAAATTGTGCATTCTTTTTGTGATTTTTATGAATAAAAAATTGAATTCGCCCTAAAGTCCTTTTATGATAAAATTTAAAACAACATTTTTATCTTGAAAATATTTTCGACAGCCAATAAATGATTCAGGATGAATATGTATCTTAAAAAAATTCTGAAGCCTTATAATTAGTACATTTCTTAGAATTTTCTGTTAATTTGGGTGTTTGGAAGCTTAAAAAGTAAAAATGACATGAAACATGTAAAATGATTTCACAACAAAATTATAATTGAGTATAAATCATTCTTTCATAAAATATTTCATAATCAATACTTTTCAGAATAATTTAATTTTTCATACATATATAACTACATTTTGTGTTTTTCTCCGACATCTGATCTATATCTAAACTTGATAATTGCTTTATTCTTTCACATAATATATGCCATAATATACCCAACATATTTCTAACAGATAAGAGGTTTTATGGAAGGAGGCATTTAATTCAGCTCAGAAATGTGTAAAACCAAGACTTTAGAAAAGTTCAAACATTAATAATAAAATAAAGTTATATGCCTAGAAAAGGAAATATACTGACCATTCAAGTTAACCATGTGAGCACTTTCTGATGGTTCCACAGCAGTATTGTCTGCTTTACTTGGAGAAGTTTTTTTTTCCATTTCTGCTTGAATTCTACTTTCTGTTTTCACAAGAACATTTGAAATTTGGTGCTTCAAAGAATTTACATCAGGACATTCAGAATTGATTGAAGCTCCTAATATATTTTGATTAACATCACTCTTGACAAAAGGAGCAGTAGTTGAGGCAAGGAAATTGGTGGGTGGAGGAGTTTCGGAGTTGATTCTGGAGCACATTTTCTGAATTGGCCTGAAACAAATGTTTTTTTTAATGTTATAATATATTTACAAATAACTTTAAGGAACATGCAAGTAAAACTAAATATATAATTTAAGTTTTGAACATAATGTATTCAATCAAATATTTCAAAATAAATTAACTAGTTTATAATGAAATTTGAGTAACATTTTACAGTAAAAAGTTGGATAGTGGAGATACAAAGATGAGGTGGGCCTTTTTTTCTTTTTTCATGCATACATACTTTCCAAGTACATTTGATTTAATAAAAAAGTGGCCTATTTTCATAAATAAATTTGAACTTATTGTATGATAAAATGACCAGTCACAATGATGGTAAATTCTTTATTATTGTAAGTGATTCAAAAGCTGACAATTTACATTTATTACTTACATTTTTTGGCATAACATAAAAATTCTAATGAACTGTGGCATTAAAGAAAAAGAGAAAAAAAAATCTATAGAGTAGTGTAGCCAATTTTTCTTAATTTTTTCATTGTTGATACAGAGAAAATATTGTAATTCTGTTATTTACATCGTTCAGATTGCTGTTATCTTTGTCATGTTTGAGTGTTTTGATGATTTTTAATATATTATTATAACAATAACAATCCTAATTATGGATCCCAAAGAATTAACTTGGGAAAGATATGAATCCATCTGTTCTCTCCCCAGCTATGGGTTAATTAGTAAAACTAGTATCAGTAAAACCATCTCAAAAAAAGTTTACAAAATATTTAGATTTTGGCATTAAATAACCAATAGAGGTTGATATGCCACTAAACAATAAAGGATGAAAAGAACAGTAACTAATTGGATTTTACATGTGCATTTCTCTTTTAGCATCCAACATTAAAATGGGATCCAAGCAAATATCATGCTGGATCAATAAGTAGATACTAGATGAATTTGGATCTTAAAATTTTCATTGTATAAGGTTTAGTTTATATGCTTAATATTCAACATTGTATCAAGTGCATTGATAGGGAAGGAGATTATGTTGAAAAATATGTGTAAAACAAATACTAAACACATAAAATGAATTATGCTATGAACCTATTGAAATTTTGTCACAACATATAAATGTCGATTTCTATCCCATTATGAAGTTAAAAAACAAACAAACAAAAAAACAAAACATGTAGTCCTAAATATCAAAATAATTCCTTTTGTAAAATATTTCATAAAAATTATATCACTTAAAGATTAGTTTGTGGTATAGCCTAGCCTTTTGATGACACCATATGGTTTATTTTTATTTCTTTTTGGTTAAATGTATGAGTGTCATTTTGCCATCATTTTTGCTGAGAAATTTTCAATTAACCTAAGGATGAGTGGATAGCTCCTCAAATTGTTTTATACCCAGAAAGGTTCTATTACAAACATTCCATAATAAAATGCCTCCCTTATACTTTATATCCTTATTTGGTCTTGAAGACAGAATGAGATCTTATTGTTATAACAATTTTCAAAATAAAATTTAGGTGTTATTTAGATTGTATTATGGTAAAAAAAAAAAAAAAAAATTTTATGTAATATGTAACAAGTATATTGATGCATATGTAATGTATAGACATAGAAATCATCTAAAAATCAATCTATACCATATAGAAAATATGGCATGAAAGTTTGCTTAAAGAGATTGTAGAACCAATGAAGAAAAAAAATGAATTGTATTATTATTATGCAAATGGTATAATTTGAAAATTGCATTTAGAAAATAGCTATAAACAATTTTTAACCAATTGCATGTGCACACACAAGGATTGGGTAGACGCTCTAACAGACAGGTGTTCCTGGAAACAAATAGCCCACCATATAGTGTGTGTGTGTGTGTGTGTGTGTGTGCGTGCGTGTGTATATGAGAGAGAGAGAGGAAGAGGAACACTACTTGGTCAGACTATTCTAAATCATATAAAAATTAGGGGAAATAATTTTTGTTAATTAGCATTCTTTAGACTTCCCTTAAGCTTTGACATTTGTCAGAATTGAAAAAATATAGATTTGTTATTTTAGAAATAGGTCGGGGGCTGTTTGTAATATTGCTACAGTGTCAAATCGATCCCTGATTTTGAAGAGTTATTGGCTAAGTTACTTATCTATTATTTACAAATGTCAAGTTTGAAAATGTTGCTAATATCAATATATACAATATTTTTTTAACATTTTTAAACTTTTTTCCCTTTTCAAAAGTTTTTTGGGGAAGCACATATATTTGGAGTTCATAATTATTTATCTTAAATTAATAATAAACAGATACATAATTTTAGTAATTTTTGTTCTTTACTGTTTATTATTTAAACAAAATCTTTCTGTAACCACATCTAAAAGAAAATCTGTTTTCAGCTATTTCCAACAACTGTCAGGGATAGATTTGACATTGAGGTGTGGATATTGTAAACAGGACCCAACTGATAAAAAAGGCAACATTTTTGGATTCTGACAAGTGTCACAGCCCAAGTAAGTTCTAAAGAATGTTAATCAACAAAAAGTATTTCCCCACAAAATTTTCCCCGAGTGGCCCAGTCTTTTCAAAAAGTACCACATATATTCTTCCCATGGATGTTCTTTGGTATAATGAATGCCATCAGTTAATAACAAAGTCTGAGCATGAAGGAGAACATATGTGGCTGTTACATAAAAATAAATGGTCTCTGAATGACAGAAATGTTCTGCAACATTGTTGCAAGATTTTATCATGGGAGTACACATAGGTCCCCTGCAAATTACAATGCCAACAGCTAGAGGTAGTTGGCTTAGCTGCTGCTTTTATTATGATGATGGTGATATTGTTGTTGTAACAATAACAACAACCAACAAATTCCATTGATGTCAGCACATAGTATCAAATTCAATTTGGTGCCACAAAAGTATGCATAGTTCATCTTGCATACATCAATATCTTACAAGGTCCACACAAAAATTCCTGAGAATGTTTTTATTCTCAACAAAGACTTATTATGAAACCAGCTTTTTGAAAGTGGAAGACCCTGAATTGACTTAAATTGAAGTTCCTGGATGAATCAATCATTATTCCATGAATTATTTTTTTTAACCATATTTCAGCTTATGTGTCCTTTGTGCTTCCTTATATTTTCTAATAAATATAAAAGCTGTCTCAACTATCTTATATTTCAAGGTATTTCCAAGTCTTATTATTCTGAACTCATTTCAGTAAATATGCCTTCTTCGCAATCTGTGCTACCATGGTTAATCTTATAGTCTGCTACAGATTATAAAAGTTTGATGTTCTACAAGCTGAACTGTTAAGAGAACATCAAGTTCCTTCCTTATTCCTCATTACACACCCCTACGAGATCCTCTTTCCCCATTATCTATGAATTGTCATAACTTTGGAAAGATAGTGGAGGGGCTTCCTATAAGCTACTCCAGTTTTGAAGGTCCTAGTCTGGTTGCCACATTATTATAATCTTCCTAAAACAAGATCACCTGATTCATGTTACACAAATTTCCACCACTGGCCAGATGTGAATGATCTGAAACCCAGGACCGAACTAAAAATTCCGTCAACTGCACACTGACTCTGCACATAACTTCCATTTTACTTACACAGTCAAAGAAAATACAATCCAGAATTTCCACCCAAAGAAGCAAAATAAAAATTGGAGCTGACCCAAAAGAAGAAAAGGACATAAAAGCCCATCAAAGGGACATCTTTGGCAGCTGAACAGCACAACAGTCAGGATTCACAATGCTCATCGGAACACAACCTTCCATCTCCAAAGACAACCTGCCAAAGGTCGTCGCCACAGTAAGTCACAATCCCTCTCCTACTATACACCTCTGTGGACAACTTTACAATTCTACTTAACTCTTTCTTTCCTTTATCTCTTTCAACAAGTGACATTTACACCAATTTACCATTTGTTGTAGTTTTAAGTTAATACAATTGTTTATTTCTTAAACCTGTTGTTTCTTTGTGCTTAATATAACATAAAACTAGAATCTGTCTATATTTCTGAGATGAGGTATTATGTACACTATTTACATTATTTGGACTACTGTCCTCATCTTTGTCGCCATATTTACTACATTTTGGCTGTTGTACACTCCGGCCTTCTTCAGGTGGTTGGAATGTTAAAGTTTCACTCGCGGGGGTAGACTGTTCTAGTTCCATGTGCCATGTTTAATGGATATCAGTTATCTCCTGTTAATTCTCCTCTTTAAGTTCTCCACTGCCTTAACCGTGTATTGAACTCACACTCTCTGGGTCCTGTCACTGGATCTAACTAACGCCTTTATCTACTGTGTGATGTGTGCTTGAAAACATCTGTTTATGAGACATTTACACCAATTTCTGGGTATTATAAACCTAATGTCATCGCAACCATTTTTTACCAGAGCTCATATTGCCATTTTTTTTAGTTGTTATCGCTTTTCTCTGGCACTCCTTATTACTGGTTCCCATATTGTATTCATTTCTATGCTTGGTCGGCTCAGATTTTTGTGGCCTAGCATATGTGCCGATTCCTTAAGTTTACAAATTTTCCAATGATGTTCTTTGTCTATGATCTCAACCTGATCCCATAGAGGGCGATGATCTCCCTTTTCTCTCCATACGTGGTCAGCCACACCTGATTTCTCCACTTCACCTTGTGTTACAGCTTTCTGGTATTCTTGAAGCCTTACCTTAAGGGGTGGCCCATCTCCCCTTTATATTTCTTTCTGCAGCTGCATAGGATAGCGTACACACAGTCTTTAGTCATGTTCTCCTCTATGGTGGGGTCTTACTTGGGAGAGATATCTGCAAAGTGTCTTCCAGCTTTTGAAGGTTGTCCTGATGTTATATGGACTGCAGATCCTTTGTATTTTCTCTGATAACCCCTTCACATAAGGCAAGCAGACTGTTTTCTGAGTGTTGTAACAACCACCCTAGGTACATGGCAGCAGTCCCAAAAAACAGGGATAAGCGGGTACAAGAGGAGGACAACAATTAAACTAGAAAACCCAATCTACCCTTCTACTTAACCCACAATTTGAGGGAAGAAATG